GATTTGGTTGCAGTGAATGTTCATGCTCGTGTTCAAGTTCAAGAAGTTCATTCAACTTCCCCTAGTGTTAATTTGGCTCCTCCCACCACCACTTCAAACTCCCACGAGAGAAGACCAGTTTGAACCAGTTTTGTTCATAATTTCATTTTAAATTAACTACAGATTATTAACAAATGAAGAGTCAAAACACCTCTATGTGTTGTTTAGTTAAATCAGGATAACCCGACAAAGTGTTACCTGTTTACTCTCAAAATGTTAATATAACTTTTGATTTTGGGGTTAAACATGAACTTTGGTCCAGTGTTAGAACAAAATGGATTCATATGACTGTATTTGTACTTTCTGAATTCTTGGAAATCCTAAGATATAATTTTACTTGAGGAAATGTAGTAAACGAGAGCACTTTTCTAGCAGCATACTAGTACTCTTACTTGAGTAAAAGTTGTACTTCCTCTTCCCACTGTGCTTGTGTCTAAAGTGACAAGCGCCTCATGTGACAATATAAAATGATTTGAACATTTGTGTTTCTTGCTCTGCTCCTTCACATGATTTAGTTTGTCTCTTTTTTGTGTCCTTTGAAGATAAGATCTGCCACTTGCTTTTCTCCTTTCAAATGTCATTGAACTGCCTAGAATGTTCCACAGTGTGACATTAAACAGCTCCACCTTACATTTAGTCAATTACAAGTGGTTTTATAGTATATTATGTATTTTAACTATAAGGACCTTGCATCACTGTAGTTTATTTTAAATTTTTTATGTGTGTGTAGCTGTGTGTGTAAATGTGTGTGTGTGTAAGTGTGTGTGTGTCCACTCACAATAATTCTTCCATTCATGGACTGATTTTCACCATATTTTGTTGGTGGGTCAAGCCTCTGCACTCGATGCCACAAAAAAAAGTTTCGATCTGAGGTCATTTGAGGTCATTATAAAGGATCATCCATTTCTGAACCATCTGTGGCCTAAAATATTCACCCACTCCTCACACAAGTTGACACACAGAATGTTACAGGTTGAAACCGGTCAAGGTCACGTGAGGTCAAATATGTGTTTTTGGTCATAACTCCGTGAAGGACGGAGCTCGAGCGACAGGAGTGTCTCAAAATCTCAGAAAAATGATGATCTATTTATAATTGTAAGCACTTGTACAGTCAGATATGAAGAGTTTTCCAGATAATCACTAATTTGAACAGTTCCTTTCTCTTTCAGTGTAGCCGTTAAAATTCTAATTGGAACAAAAATTATTTCCATTTCTTGTTTTTCTGGTGATACACAACACACTGATCTACAGTCACACAACTAACATACACACAACTCATGCCATTTTGGTTCCACACTAGTAAACACAGACATTGTCATGTGTGACCAACATCACACACATGTTCATGGGCCTGTACACATACACACATTGTATTGTGGAGATAATGATCATGTGATATGGGCTGGACTCCTCATAAACTGCTTCTGTGTTGATGAACTGACCCACCGACGCCTCATGGGACCTGGTTACTGTCTCTGATTGTGCTTGTTGTTTTATGGATTCACTTCAGTAAATTTTAGAACCACATTTTCCTCGCACTATCACACCACCGTCAAAATGAATTCAGAGAACCTTTGCCCTGCTCCGAAGTACAGTCACCTGAAACATTTGGACCTGAAGCACAGTGAGAGGAGCAAGTCGAGTGGAAGCATGTCTGAGGAAGTACTGCATCTGATTGCATGATTTAAGAGGATTAATTATAACAAGTAGAGCCCGACCGATATGGATGTTGTTTTGGCTGATATGAAACCGATATAATGGGAGTTGGAGCTGCCGATATAATCACAGATATATTTAGTGATGTAAAAATTCACTATAAATCTTGAATTGTTTAAAAAACTTAGGTTTGGCTCCGGTGGATTTTAAATTGGGTTTATTTAAGCAACATTTATTGTTCTTCTGCGTCTTTACGTCATATTTACAGACAGTAGGTCGGACTAATGGAAATTTTTACATCACATTCTGCACACTAGTGATGATGGGGATTCAGTTCTTTTTAGAGAACCGGCTCTTTTGGCTCGGCTCACTAAAAGCAGCTGGCTCTTTTGGGTCCCAAGCGGCTCTTCAGATTGTTTTGTAATAATATATAAAATAATAATTAATTCATAGATATTTAAGAATAAAAATTAATTAGTAAAACGTTAAATCGGCTAAAATTTTAAACAATGTAAGTTCATCTGTAAAAGGTAAATTAACAAATATAATTAAAATATATTAATTAAAATGCAAATAGATTCAATGACTAATGAAAATGTAAATTTCATTTCATTATTCTATATATTTGTTTACGTTTAAAGGTTTTTTGCTGCTGCTGTTGAAGAAAATGAAACATTTTAATAAAAGTCTTGAAGTTGATCCTTGTGTCTGTTTTATTGTTTTTTTCAAGTTGGACCTGCATTTCTCATTTAAAGACTTCAATTAAATCAAATTAAAATGTTTTTTTTACTTCTCAAATTAAATATGAATATTAAATATGAATTTATGAATGTTTAGAACAGAAAATAGTGAATTTTCATTTTCAGTCTCAGTCTCAGTTTGTGTTCACGTCTCATGTGGAGATCAGAACCTGCAGACTTCCCTCTTCCCTGAGCTGCAGAGGCTGCACTAGCACTAACTCAGGATCAGCTGCAGGTTCTGGGGTTTAGGGAGAAACGTTCACATCAGAGAGAGTTTCACTTTTAGGTTTAAACACACTGGATTTGAGCTTTGAACCTGGAGACTCAAAGGAAACCACACAGCTCCTTTTAACATTTTTTTATTTTCAGCAAACAAATATCATTCAATATCAATAAAATAATTAAATATAATAATCTGTATTATTTAAATTATAATAATAATAAAATTGGTGTTTATATGTAGTTGTCACGCCTGGTGTAGCACAGAGCCGGGTACAACCTCTCGAACGCTCTGGTGTATGCAGTCAGGTCTGAGCTCCCTGCACAAAAACAACAACAACACAAGAGTCACTTCAAATAATCATTCTATTTAAACTTATTTGAGGAGACAGAGACATGTTCTGTGTTCAGACCCGGTGTTCTGTCAGGGACCGACTGGGACCAAAAAAAATGGCCCTGGACTTTTCCCCCATGAGTCGCCCCATCGGTGGATTCAGTATTTGAATGGAGATTTGCTCCTTCTGGACTTCAGCGACACCAAAACCGTCCATAAAAGAACAGCGATTGTGACGGACAGTGAAAGACGAGGAAGGAAAAGGATGACTAAAAATATATTTAAAAATGGGGAAAAAAAGCCTTTAAAATTATGATTTGAGTTTGTAAAAAATGACAAAAAATTATGAGAGAAAATGATCCTGGTGGAAATAATATCAGTTTAAGTATTGGGACTAAAAATGTATTTAAAAATGGGAATAAAATGCCTTTAAAATTCTGATTTGAGTTTGTAAACAATGACAAAAATTATTAAAGGAAATGATGATGGTGAAAATAATATGGGTTTAAGTATTGGGACATTCTTTTTTTTTTTTTTAATTTAAAAATGGGAGAGGGGGGAAAAAAAAGAAAAAGAGAGAAAAGGAGTTTCAGTTGTGAACTGGCCGCGGTGTGTGGATGTACGGAGGCCTAGTGGTGTGTTTATGTTGCACTACCACATGACTTTTGTTTAATTTGGTCAGATTTGTGTTGATGTTTGTGGTCGGGGGGAAATGGAGGCTTTTTGTTGTTGTTGTTGTTTTGTATTTGTTGTGGGTGTTGCTTTACGTTTTTGTCTTGCTGATTGTTGAAACTGTTAAATGTTGATCATTGTATTTTTTTCAATGTTATATTCTGTTGTCCTTAAGAAAAATAAAAAATTTAAAAAAGACCTGAATAATTCCAACTGGAACTGATGCTGAGTCTGACGACAGCGACACAGAAGAGGAAGCGGCGCTCTGTTTCCCTCCGGAGGTCGTGGAGTTGTTCAGAAGTGACACCGAGGATGAAGAATTGAATGGATTTAGTCTCTGTTCAGACTGCAGGGCTTAACGCTCAATTCTGATGTTTTTGCCAGGTCGTTCACATTTCCAGTTAAACCTTTGTTGTCAACTTAAACCTCGCTTTAAATGACAATAAAACAAGTACAAACTGGTTTTACATTGGTTTCAAGTAGTAGTTTATCACTCGCGATTAGAGTTAGCATCGCGATTAGCCTCGTGCTAGCATGTTTTTCACCAGATTAGATCAGTAAACACGTGTAGACTCACCAAGACCATGTGTTTGCATGAACATGGACAGACACCGTCACGGCCCCTCAGGTTCACGCTTGGAATCAACTTAAAATAGCATATAAACATTTCCCAGTTAGCATCTAATCTACCACATTTACATTAAATGATATTTACATGCACTCACCGAGAATGATCGTTTATCTTAGCAAAAATAAAAGTGATCATCACACACATGAGCGTCCAGAGCGTAAAAGAATGAAAACTAATATAACTCTTAATAACTCTCAACGAATAAGAAGGTCATTATCACCCAACGTGACTGACAAACAGGAAGTTAACAGAAAGCAAGAGAGTCACACTTCCTCTTACCAAAATAAACGTTTTCAAAATAAAATGAGTGCATTTAAATAAAAGAAATATGGCACGTTTTCTCTACTGGGTTACACGTTCAGTGAATTGCCACAATTATAAAAATAAATATGAAATGAGTCCACTTTTATTTGGAAATATATTAGGATGATAAATGCTTAACATTCATAACATGTTTGTGGTGTGCAGGAGTTGTCCGGATGCCCTCCCGCAGCAGAGCACAGCCCCTCGCCCGCTCCCTGTATCGACTCAGCTCTGCTCTGTAGTTTGGTTTGATCTGAATCTGTACAAAAGCTGCTCATTCACATGAGGCCGTTTACAGTGATGTCCTAAAGTCTGTTTTCTTACCCTGCCTGCACTCCAAATGCTGCAATGTCGATTTCTTCACATTCTCGCAGCTGCACTCTGACAGGGATCAGTGCATTCACTGACAGCTTGGGGCTGTGACAGCGGAGCAGACACACGTATCATGTCTGTGCACAAAGAGGTAACATTAGAAACATTTATATGACAATAAATGTATTCCATAATCCACGAGACTTCTACCTGTGTGGGATCAAATGCAGTGGACACCAGTGAGATGTGAGTCCGCGGGAACAGACTGCCAGGACAGGCGTGAGTGGGAGCGAGAAAGCAGTGGGTCTGCTGTTGGAAGGGGAGCACATGTGACAGACACTGGTGTTAAACGAACACAGAGGAAACTATAAAAGGTTGACGTGTGTGCGGTGCACGGGCTTACAGCGGTGTGCCACGTGCGCGCGAAGTGTTTGGAACACAAACCAAGTCAGTTCTGTCATGGCCCACGAAAAATTCTATATTCCTGGTGCCTCTGCTGGTGTGGACTTGCATCGCGCTGCTCCGAAGCTGTTTTTTTTTTATTGTCACATATAACTTTTTCCCACACTCCACTTTGCTGCCTGATAATGAGGCAAAGATTACAGACATTACCCGCATGGGCAGTGCTTTTAAATGCCACAGCATCACAGATTGTTTCAGATGCCGTCACCATATATGTACTTGTACTGTCCCACTGTAGCCTCCAGCAGCGAAGTACAGCCCCACATGGACACGTCTCCTCCTTAATGCCAGTGCCAGTGCTTGCTGGGGGCAAGGTCGGGCCCAAAGTGTGCTTGTCCCCAGACCTGAGGGCCAGTGGTCCAAATTCCACTTCTGACATAAAATGATCGTTGGTAAAGTGGTCAAATCCACTGACCACAGAAGAATGCTGCCTTTGTGCCTTTGACACTTAACCTCCCTCCTCCCCAGTGTATGTTTGCACAAATGTATTTATTTAAGAAAAGAGAGAACAATGCCTATGAGTGAACATTCAGACAGATGCAGTATAAATATGACAGTGTGCAGACCCCCAGCAGGCTGCTGTTAAAGCATACACACACTGTACACACACTGTACACACACTGTACACACACTATACACACACTGTACACACACTGTACACACACTGTACAAACACTGTACACACACTGTACACACACTGTACACACACTGTACACACACACACTGTACAACACTGTACACACACTGTACACACACTGTACAAACACTGTACAAACACTGTACACACTGTACACACACTGTACACACACTGTACACACACTGTACAAACACTGTACACACACTGTACACACACTGTACAACACTGTACACACACTGTACAAACACTGTACAAACACTGTACACACACTGTACACACACTGTACAAACACTGTACACACACTGTACACACACACTGTACACACACTGTACATACACTGTACACACTGTACACACACTGTGCACACACTGTACACACACTGTACACACACTGTACACACACTGTACACACTGTACACACACTGTACACACACTGTACACACACTGTACACACACTGTACAAACACTGTACACACACTGTACACACACTGTACACACACTGTACACACACTGTACACACACTGTACAAACACTGTTAGACAAGTGAACAAAGATAAAAACAAAATCCAAGTGTCATGTGGATACCAGCATTTAACAACCACATGTTAAATAAGACAGACTTGTATTGCACATGCCCTTATATTGTACTCATATTGCACCAAATTCTATTTCACATAACCCTATATTGCACAAAGTAAATAAATAAATGTACAGTCATGGACAAAATTGTTGGTACCCCTCTGGTAATGAAAGAAAAATCAACAATTTTCACTGAAATAACTGAAAATCAGACACTGTTTTTGAATTGTTGTTCAACAGAATTATAAAAAAAAAAAAAAAAACAAAAAAAAACTAATGAAACTGGCCTGGACAAAAATGATGGTTCCCCTAGAAAAGATTGTAAGTAACTGAACAATAGGAACATGTTAAACTTCAGTGTGTCTCTAATCTGCATCACAGGTTCTTCAAACTTGTCCTCAGTCAGTCTGTCTGTTTAAAGTGGGACATGTGTCATTGTGTTTGGAGACGTGATGGACACAACACAGAACATGGAACAGAGAAAGAGAAGAAGAGAACTGTGTCAGGAGACTAGAAAGAAAATAATAGACAAACAGGATAAAGATAAAGACAATAAGACCATCTCCAAGCAGCTTGATGTTCCTGTGATTACAGTTACACATGTTCTTCACAAGTTTAAGATCCACAGGACTGAAGCCAACCTCCCTGGACAAGAGGAAAATTTGACAAATTGAAGAGATGGATATGAATGGAATCAAAGAGCCCAGAACAACCTACAAACAAATAAAATGTGAAGTTCAAGGTCAAAGTACATCAGTGTCAGATCACACCATCCATCAGTGTTTGAGATAAAGTGGACTTCATGTGAGGACACCACTGCTGAGAGAAAATCATACAAAGTGAGACTGGAATTTGCCACAATGCATACTGACAAACCACAAAGCTTCTGGGAGGATGTTCTTTGGACAGATGAGACAAAACTAGAGCTCTTTGGCAAGACACATCAGCTCTATGTTCACAGACGCAAAAATGAAGCAGCCCAAGAAAAGAACACTGCCCTACTGTGAAACACGGAGGAGGTTTGGTTTTGTTCTGGGGCTGTTTTGCTGCATCTGCCACAGGGCGTCTTGAATCTGTACAAGGTACAATGAAATCTCAAAACTATCAAGGTGTTTTGGACCAAAATGTGTTGCCTAGTGTCAGAAAGCTTGGTCTTAGGTCATGGGTCTTCCAACATGATAATGACCCAAAACACACAGCTAAAAACACACAAGAATGACTAAGTACAAAACACTGGACTGTTCTGGAGTGTTCTTCTGTGAGCCCAGATCTCAGTCCTACTGAACATCTGTGAAAGGAGCTGAAACATGCGTCTGGAGAAGGAACCTTCAAACCTAAGACAACTAGAACAGTTTCCTCACGAGAAATGGGTCAAAATACCAGTTGACCAGAGCAGAAGTCTCATTGACAGTTACAGAAATCATTTGTTTGCAGAGTTTGCCTCAAAAGGTTGTGTAAATTATTACATTAAGGGAACCATCATTTTTGTCCAGGCCAGTTTCATTATTTTGTTTTTTCTAATAATTCTGTTGAACCACAGGTGAAAAGCAATGTTTGATTTTTGTTGGACAATTTTCAGTATTTTTTTTATTTATTATTGCTTTTCTCAGTTTCAAGTTATCTCAGTGATTATTGTTGATTTTTCTTTTATTGCCAGAGGGTTACCAACATTTTTGTCCACAACTGTATATACATTTAATGACAACAAATAAGACAGAGTGACTGACCTGTATTGCACATATCCATATATTGCAGTGATTCTTATTGCACTTTTAGCAAGGCACTTGAGTCAATAAAATTCATATTTGACATTTCCACATTTTAGCTTATGCATGACATGTACAACATGTTTATATGTCATTCAACAACAGTTTACATGCTCCTTAAAAGCAAAGAAACTGGTGCTTTCCCTCACTGACATTGGAGTAGAGTGTGTGTGTGTGTGTGTGTGTGTGTGTGTGTGTGTGTGCGTGGAGGGTTTATATATGAATGTAGTGTATTGTGGGTGTGTGTCTATCTGTGTACGGCTTGGACCCTGAGTCTGTAAATAAAGTTATATATATAGCTCAAAAATAGTTAACAAAACAAACAGGCATTCTAACTGTGAATGGGGTCCTTCTCCACAGATCTGACCTGTACGATCTGACCTGGTCTGGTTTGGTCTCCATGAAGATAGAAAGGTGTAATGTAGGGTGACCAGATTGGCAAAATAAAAAACTGAGACATCCCTGGTTTTGTTGGTTGACAATAAAATTGTAAAACGAATTAATGAAAACTGTTCTGCACTCGGCACTAATGTGAGGCAGTATAGTCACATTTTCTTTGTGTTTTGGTGATTTTACCTAAACAAATGTCAGTTTATGTCTCTCTTTACTGTTGGCAGGGATCAGATTGGTCAAAAATAGGGACACCTGGGCCATTTCTTGTATAAAATTGGGACAAATCACTGGTTTTGGATAAATCTGCTGGGACAGGGGACACTGCCTCAAAACTAGGACTGTCACACTAGTTTAACACCAAACTGTGAAACATTCCAGACAAAGAAGTAACATCTACATGATGAAAAGCATTTGACGCACCCTCCCCCAAAAAGACACACAATGCAACCCAACCATTTAACTTCAAATATCCAGTTACTCTTTAAGTTACTCTTACTTGAGCAGTTCTTTCCCAAATACTTAGTACTCTTACTTAAGTATTTTCTTGGACCACTACTTTGTACTTCTACTTGAAAAATATTATTTTGAAGCAACATTACACTTCCTTAAGTACAATTTTTGGCTGACAACAACAACAGAAACATTTCACAGGAGCCTAAACTTTGAGTCCACAAGCTCCTCCTTTGACACAGTTTGTCCTCTCAGGGCCTCTGTAGAAATAGGAAACAGGAACTAAACTTTATCCACTCGATGCATTGGAATTTTACTAGTTTTTCCAAGAACAACAAATCCAAAACTACTTTAAGTAATCACGCCTGCATTTGTAAACCACAATTTGAGCTTGCATTTCCACGTTTGACTCCTCATTACTTTTTTTTGTGGACTTGTTTTGGTCCAGGTTTAGACTTTGCCTCAGATCTGGGGTTGTCTGAGGGCACTGGACTGGCCCTGCCTCTTTTGCACATTTTACAGACACAATTACAGCCATGGAGGAATCTGCAGAGCCAAAGGACGTGAAGAACAGCTCAGATTTGTGCCTAAACGCTCTGAAAACTTTTATTGACCAAGGGAAATGTCTCCTGGAGCTGGCAGAGAAACAAAGCAAAGAAGGTAAGAGTTTTTTTACAGAAAGAAGTGAAGAAACAGACACATGTTTGGGTGTAATGAAGTTTGGGGGTTGGGAAATGTTAGTTTAAGCCTGTCAAACAAATCTCAGGGACAAAATACTAAATAAAGTCTAAACGCTATATTTATACTTTTTCCCATTTTAAACAATTGATTTTATTTTATTTTATTTTTTTTTTTTGCATTTTCTTTTGATATTAGAGCAGAAAAGTAAAAAACAAACAAAAAAAAAAAAAAAAAACGTATTAAACTTATTAAAACTTAGTAAATTATATTTTTGAATCATTCTAATAATTCTACTTCTTTCTCCTTTATTCTGGTGATAAATCTGGGGTTTACTTTATTATTTTGAAATGCTGAGTGATCATGTGACCAGATTGAGGAGGTCATGTGACACTTTTGGCTAAACATTTGGGCCACAGATCACATGGTCCAGATCAGCTGCTCTTGCCACACCTAAATATAATTAAATCTTTCTTTATTTACATTAGAACATTTAAAACAAATTACAGTCCATAAATGTTGAACTGTTAATAAGAGATGGCTCCACACACGTGTCATACTAATCTAATGACTAACAGATGTGTAAACCGATATGACACAAAACTGACTATAATATTTCCTCATCAAAAACAGATCTGGAGTTGTGTTTTGTTTCATTTACACTCTTGAATAACTCTTTATTATTACTCTGTCTACATCTCCAAAGCTCAAAAATGCTCTGTCCCTCCTTGTGATGTCATTTAGTGGTACTTTTCAAGTGAACGGCGCCTTTAGTTCAATAGACTGGAAATTCCTGAGTTGAAATGATCCAAATGATTCTTGTGAAAGTGTTTGGAGTTTAAAAACACAGTGGAGCATTTCCTGTCTTACCATGTGACATCACAAGGTGGAACTCTGTTGGAGTGTTTTCTGTCTGAGAAAAGAACTCAGCCTAAATGTGCAGGTTTGTGTGTTTAACGTGTGAATGGTTTGTTTGTGATGAGGAAACTACATTATAATCAAAAACAGAGTAATACGGGCCCTTTTAAAAGCTACTGTAACAGCAAATTTCACCATAGAATTCTGACGTGCCCTCCTCCTTAATTATAGTCTCATACTTTTGCACACTCATGTCTTGCTCAAAGACACAACACATGATGTAGTTATTGCACCATATGCAATCCTGTGTCCAGGTTCCCTTCAGGATTACATCAGACTGAAGATCCGGATTGAACAAAAACAGTCTCTGCTCGGACTCATGGACTCTGCAGCTCAACTCTACAAGAGGTGAAAACAAAACACACACTGTGTGTGTCTGACATTATGAATGTTACAGTTAAATATTAAACTTGTGTGTGTATATAGTCTGTGTGTGTGACATTATAAATATTATAGTTAAATATTAAACTTGTGTGTATACAGTCTGTCAGTGAAGACCATTGAGGAGGCTGAAGATCTGTGGAAAAGTCACTCTGAGTGAGTAAAAATACAAAATACACCAACTGATCCAATCCCCACTACCATAAAGTGCAGTTAATGCAACAGTTGCGGTGCGTGACATTACTGGAAGAGGGTACGCCACGGCCACCTACTTTAAATCAACAAATGTAAAAGTAACTCACACCAGTGGTTATTAGAGACTCAAATAAATGTAAAGGACAGCAACTTTTGTGAACACTGTGGTCCAAAGAAAAAAAAATAAGATCAGAAAATGTTAAAAAGTATTTCTGCCAAAGTGTGCCTCCTACGGCGCCCTCCAGAGGATGTAATGAGAAGGACCTCACTAAACTTTTTCAAGGTAACACAAATCTTTTGTGTTCTGACCGTCACTGATGTTATGTCATTGTATTTGAAGCTTATTCAAAAGAAGTCAATGTCAATTATCCATTTATCCTCCACTGTTGATGTCACACTGACCCAAAGACCCACAGAAACACAAATGTTCAAATCACTTCATATCACAATAGTTTTATTCACAGAGGTAAGAGGAAACTAAACTTCAGTGAGTCTGCTGCGTCTGTCTCTGATTCAGATGTTCTCTTTCACAGCTGTGCAGAACTAACTGAAGCTCTTCGCTCCTTTCAACATCTGGAGGTGAGATGTTTCCTGATCTATCTCCTCACACCTGTGTTTAACCCTGAGTCACTGCCTGTCTCTCCTGCTCCTGTTGTGTCATTATTATTATTATATTGTACATATCCTGACATTCTGTATTATTATTATTATTATTATTATTGTTATATTGTTTCTATGGTGACACACACAGGAGCAGTGGGACAGTTTCCTCCAGAGGTTGGACCAGGACCTCCAGCCTGACCCTGAGACGGAGCACAGACACCCTTCGTCCATCTCCCCTCACCTGCCCCTCACCTGCGCCCGCTCTGGACGGTGGGTCACTCTGCTCTGACAGGACAGGTGCATTATGGGAGTTGTATGAGTGACATGTGTTCTTTGGTGCACAGGGAGGTGATGCTCGGGGATTATCTGCAGAAGGACCAGAAGCTGCTGCTGGTTCTGATCCGACAGTTTGCCTGTTTGTTTTGTCGCCGGCATCCTCAAGGAGCTGCACAAGAACCAGGTCAGGACCAGAGTCATGGTTAAAATCATCACAGGAGTTTTCTCACACTGTGGAGTGGTGACTGTCACTGTAGCCGCACCTGCCCTGGGAGCGATACATTTAGATGTGGCTGACACACTGAGCCACTGACCACCAAAACACCCAAAGCATTTCACAGCAGAGCCAGAGCAGAGCCAGAGCAGAGCCAGAGCAGAGCCAGAGCAGAGCCAGAGCAGAACCAGAGCAGAACCAGAGCAGAACCAGAGCCAGAACCAGAGCCAGAGCCAGAGCAGAGCCAGAGCAGAGCCAGTTTTTCCTATTGATTACACTGTACTTTATGATGAAATATCCAAAAAATAAATACACAAATACTGAACCTGATAATTTCCATCAATGACTAGACTCAAGAACTCACTGAATTACAACAAAAATCTGCATTATAACAATAGAAATTTAGCTGCCCCTTATCTGTTTTAGATATTATTGGCCTATAGAAAGCTGTGATGTCATCGAAAACTAGAAAACCTGTAGCCGCAGCTGTCCTGGGGCAGACTGACGGAGGTGAGGCTGATGTAGTTTTGAGTCAATCTGTTTAATCTGATTTTAGTCAATCACAATTGTATAAGTGAACTGGTGTCTAAAGTGTTCATGTCCTGTAGAACCTGCTCTAACAGTGTTCTATTCTCCTGTCCCCGTGTAGAATCTTCAGAGCAACAAGTGGAGTGTGAAAATTGACTCTCACAGAATCAATTTGGACATTTTCTCAGGGTTTATACAAGTCCAATCTATTAATTATTTAACATTTTTGGAAATGTTAATTAAGTAACACTGGACCAAAGTTCCTGTTTAACCCCAAAATCAAGAGTCCTGATTTAGCTAAACAACACACAGAGATGTGTTATTTTTACACTTTATTTGAATGAATTTGAGATTAAATTATGTCCAAAACTGGTTCAAACTGGTCTTCTCTTGTGGGAGTTTGAAGTGGTGGGTGGGAGGAGACACATCAACACTAAGAGAAGTTCAGCATGTTTAAATAAAATATAGCTCTTACTGATTAGAATTGTAATGCTGATTTATTTAATCATAAAACAAATTGTACATGATGGCCATGTATTTTGTTAAGTTTGTAAAAAAAAAAAGGGGGAAGTTGGCAAATAACCACAACTCGAACCCCCATTTAACTTTCAAATAGTTAAAATAACTCTTTTTGTGTTAAAAACAACTCTGAAATATTTTACCCTGAAATTTTATCCCTCCAGTTTTTGCTGTGTGCTCTAACTGTCTGTGCCATGTCCTGTCCTGTAGAAGCTGCTCTAACAGTGTCCTATTCTCCTGTCCTGGTCCTGGTGTAGAATCTTCTGGAGTCTCAGGGCGTGCGTGTGGTGGTGGTTTCTTTTGGATGTCTGGAGGGAGCGGCTCACTGGATCTCCGAGACGGGCTGTACTTATGACATGCTGCTGGACCCTCAGAGACAGGTGAGAAGAACGGATCGGCCAGCGTGATTAACCACACATCACATCTTCTGTCCATTAAAGTGACCTGTTATATTTCAGCTGTACATCGCGTTCAGTCTGGGCTCGTCCCTGTGGAAGGTGCTGAACTTCAGAAACATGTTGGTTTATGGAGAATATGTGGCTCAAGACCAACAGTTCCCCAAAGAACTGCCCACTATTGAAGACGACATGTTCCAGGTACTCACTCACACAACAGTATAACACTATTGCACACAGTACCAGCCACGTATATGTGGATAATAAACTAATCAAACATATATAGTTTATGTGCAACTTGCTCAGGAGGCCTCCCTGCAGGGTTTCTGATGAGGGACTGGGTAGAAGAAATACACCTTAACTTGGAATAGAGCAGGAAAAAAAAAAAAAAACAACACAAAAAAACCCCAAAACAGTTTAATAGGTGCAGTATGTAACTTTGGTGGAGGGTCCATCAAGTGCTTTTCATGAAGATGTTGTTGATTTGTCTGGAATGTTTCACAGTATGACTTTAAATCTTTCTATCTTCACGGAGACCAAACCAGACCAAGTTACAGGTCAGATCTGTGTAGAGGTGACTCCGCTCAAAGTCAGAATGTCTGTTTTTCTAGGTACCTGTATTTAAAAAAAAAAGAAAAAAGTAAGGTAGAGCTGTTTAATGTCACACTGTGGAACATTCCAGGCAGAGCAATGACATCTCCACAGAAACAAGCAGATGATGGACCCCCAATCAAAAGATTATCTTTAAAATAATAAAAGTACTCTTAAAATAATGAAATAAGAGAAATGAACCCTGTCTTTATTACAGCACAAATGAAGGACTATCCTCAGTCTTCACCTCCATGTGTTCATAATCTCAATCACGTTTCTTCAACAAATGAAACAGAAAATACACACCAAAGTTCTTGTAGAGGTGGAAATGCAAGGAACAGCAATTAAAAGGTAGATAGGTGATGTCCAAAAGCTTTTATTTATAAATAAAATGTTTAAAATATGTTACACCGAAATGTAATTTAAGCTTTTGGATATCGGCCATCTGAATGTGCTATGTATTTTTTTTCACTCATAATTCCTGTCCTGTCATGATTAATTGGGCAAACCTCTTTGACTCAGAAGCTCAGCAGGACTGGGCCTGGTCAGTACTTGGATGGGAGACCACTCAAAATACCAAATGCCACAGGGGGGCGCCAGTGACAAAAACTCTTGTTCTCCTGTAGTACAAAAAAAAGTACCACTATAAATATTGAGCCCCAAAAATTGCATCCACAGCACATTAATTATTTACCACTGAGTGTGGAGTGAATGATTAAAGCATGAAACTGTAAAGCGACTTAAGCGTTTGGAAAAGCGCTATATCCTGAATCCTCCTTTTCTTTTTCTTCAGCTGGGAGGAGACTTTGTGCTGGACGAACACGGCTCTGTCCTGTTCTCTCACTGCTGCCAGAGTCCCATCGACCGACCGTCCATCTACCGCCTCCTGTCCGGGATCAACTGTTAACCTGTACACGCCATTTTACAGTATATGCACTCATTTACAACGAGGGACTGGCCCCATCTCCACAAAGACCTGGCCCTGTCTCGCAATGCAAATAATGTCCGGGATCAACAGCGAACACTCTTCACATCATTTCATATTCACTTACTCCGGGGCACAGTCTCATAAAGGGAAAGATGAGTGGGACCAAGTACTAATGCTATTCACACCATTTTACATACAGCATTTATACTCTTAACCCTATTTTACAGGCTTTAATGTACATCCACACGGCACTGGCCCTATCTCGCAATGGGAAAGATGTGAGGGACCAACTGCTAACGCTTGAAACCTTATTTTATATACACTGGCTCTAACTCGCAGTAGTAAAGGGACCAAATATTATTGTTGTTTACCACGTTGTACTGTTTTAGAATCAGAAATCATGAAGTTACATTTCACTCTCTCATGTTTTTACCAACTCCTGCAGATTCAGGCAGGGGCTCGTTTCTGACCTTAAAACTCTGAAACTTTTAAATAAATGAAAATAATAATTATGTTCTGTTTAAGTATTTAATTTTTTATAAATCAGTTGTTATTGTTATTGTTGCCATTCACTTCTACTGTATAGTACATCTGCTACTACTACTATCTTATAATTGTTTGTTTCTACTATTACAAATACTATTACTATTACTACCACTACTATTACTACTATTAGTACAACTACAACAACAACTAAGGTACACTTTAATATTCCTGTAGGAAAATGAGTCCTTTTTGCATTTGACCTATGATCTTGTTGCTAGGCTTGGTCAGGACTAGAACTATTACTATTACTTCTACTACTACTACTACTACTATAGCAACTACAGCTATCACCACCACCACTACCACTACCACTACTACTACTACTACTGCTATTACTACCACCACTACTACTAAACTACTACTACTATTACTACAACAATTATTACAACTAAAACTCATAGAATTATCTACAACAGCTACAATAACAACTACTACTACTTCTAATATGACGACTACTACAGCAAGTAGTACAAGTACTACTACAATTGTCACCACCACTACTACTACTACTACTACTATTACTACAGCAATTATCACAACTAAAACTTACAGAATTATTACTACAACAACAACTACTACTACTTCTAATATGGCCACTACTACTATCACCACTACTAGTACTACTACCTACTACTACTACTACCACCACTACTACTGCTACTACTAGTATTACTACAGCAATTATCACAACTAAAACTTATAGAATAACTACAACAGCAACAATAACAACTACTACTTCTAATATGACTACTACTGCAGTAACTAGTACAACTGCGACTACAACTGTTACCACTACCACTACCACTACTACTACTAGTGCTACTACTACTACCACCACTACTACTGCTGCTACTACTACTATTACTACAACAATTATCACAACTAAAACGTATAGAATAACTACAACAGCAACAACAACAACTATATGACTACTACTGCAGTAACTAGTATAAGTACTGCTACAACTATCACCACCACATCTGCTACTACTACCACCACTACTACTGCTACTATATTACTGTATTACTACAACATTTATCACAACTAAAACTTATAAAATTACTACAACAGCAACAATAACAGCTACTACTACTTCTAATATGACTAGTACTTCAGCAACTATTACAAGTACTACTACAACTAATACCACCTCTACTGATACTACTACTACCTACTACTACTACTACTACTAGTGCTACTACTACTATTACTACAACAGTTATCACAACTAAAAATTATAGAATGACTACAACAGCTACAATAACAACTACTACTACTTCTAATATAACTACTACTACAACAACTAGTACAAGTACTACTACAACTATCTCCACCACTACTGATACTGCTACTACTACTATTACTACAACAATTATCACAACTAAAATTTACAGAATGACTACAGCAGCAACAATAACTACTACTATTTCTAATATGACTACTACTACAACAACTAGTACAAATACTACAACTAGCACCACCACATCTGCTACTACTACTAGTGCTATACTACCACCACTACTACCACCACTACTACTGCTACTACTAGTATTACTACAACAATTATCACAACTAAAGCTTATAGAATGACTACAACAGCTACAATAACAACTACTACTACTTCTAATATGACTACTACTACAGCAACTAATACAAATACTACTACAACTATCACCACCACTACTGATACTACTACTACCTACTTCTACTACCCCCACTACTACCGCTACTACTATTACTACAACAATTATCACAATTAAAACTTATAGAATGAATACAACAGCAACAATAACAACAACTACTACTACTACTAATATAACTACTACTACAGCAACTAGTACAACGACTACTACAACTATTACCACTACCACTACTACTACTAGTACTAGTACTACAAATACTCCTCCTCCTCCTCCTACATTCCAGCCCCAGACACAGCAGATATAAGTGTTCCTTTGTCTGTGTCCATAGTACTCGTCTGTATACTCGTCTGTGTACTTCTCTGTGTACTGTTGTATTGAGGCGCTCAGACAAAGAGTGTCCCACATCTGAACAGAGCGGCGCATCAGCTCTGATGAGTGAAGATCTGTGTCACTGCTCCAAACACCACACGCTTTCCCACAGTTTAACCTAACGCCAAGAAAATACAAATAAATACAACGAAATGAAGGGGAGAGAAGAGAAGATCTGACACCAGGCTAATACTGAACACAACAAGATTCAAACTACAACAAGTCCAAGACTGAACCAGAGACTAACAAGAACTAAACCAGGACTAAACCAGGACTAAACCAAAACTAAACCAGGTCTAAACAAGAACTAAACCAGGACTAAACCAGGTCTAAACCAGGACTAAACCAGGACTAAACCAGGACTAAACCAGGACTAAACCAGGACTAAACCAGGTCTAAACCAGGTCTAAACCAAAACTAAACCAGGTCTAAACCAGGACTAAACCAGGACTAAACCAGGTCTAAACCAGGTCTAAACCAGGAAACTAAACCAGGTCTAAACCAGGACTAAACCAGGACTAAACCAGGACTAAACCAGGACTAAACCAGGTCTAAACCAGGACTAAACCAGGACTAAACCAGGTCTAAACCAAAACTAAACCAGGACTAAACCAGGTCTAAACCAAAACTAAACCAGGACTAAACCAGGACTAAACCAAAACTAAACCAGGACTAAACCAGGACTAAACCAGAACTAAACCAGGTCTAAACCAAAACTAAACCAGGTCTAAACCAGGACTAAACCAGAACTAAACCAGGGCTAAACCAGGTCTAAACCAGGTCTAAACCAGAACTAAACCAGAACTAAACCAGGTCTAAACCAGGACTAAACCAGGACTAAACCAGGACTAAACCAGAACTAAACCAGAACTAAACCAGGATTAAACCAGGACTAAACCAGGGTTAAACCAGGTCTAAACCAGAACTAAACCAGGGTTAAACCAGGACTAAACTAAAAGTAAACCAGAACTAAACTGAGCCTAAACCAGGACTAAACCAGGACTGAACCGGGATCAAACCAGGACTAAACCAGGGTTAAGCCAGGACTAAACCAGGACTAAAACAGCACAAAACTGAGCCTAAACCAGGACTAAACCGAAGTAAATCAGAACTAAACCAGCACTAAATCAGGGTTAAACCAGAACTAAACTGAACTTAACTGAACTAAACTGAACTAAACCAGGACTAAAACAGGGATAAACCAGGACTAAATCAAACTAATCCAGGACTAAACCCGAGTTAAACCAGAACTGAACCAGGGTTACACCAGGACTAAACCAGGACTAAACGAGGACTCAGATCTGTACACACACTGCACAGAGCACATGGGACTTGTATGTAACAGTGCATAACACGCAGTTACTGACCCGGTTAATTGGGGTCAGACTCAAAGTCGTTAATGATGTAAAAATACACGTATAGTACAGAGGGATCGCAGTATGCACTCGGACCAGCGGAGGAGAGGAGGACAGGATCGTATTTGTGTGGAGGAAAGAGAAAATTGTGTCTAAAATGCTGGAGGAAAATGGAAAACGTGAAGAACTGTCCAAAGTGATCCATGAGTGGAACAGCAGCAGACTGGACCTGTTTGAGATCAGCCCTCCAGATCAGGTGAGACTGTTTACACTGTTTGATTTACGGAGAAAGGGACGTTCATAGTGAAGTTTCACCGTCTCAATCAGCAGATTTTCATTCACTGTTGAAGAAAGGCTGTGAGGCATTTTAACCTGACCCAAAGTCTGATTTGTATTAGATAAGGGATAGGTGAAAACAGGAATTTTCTGAGCACTGAGGCCTTAATTGGGACAGTACAGGAAACTCAAACATACATGAATAAAGCCAAATATAAGTCAGCACAAAGTAATGATGAGAGAAGAGCATTAGGATGGTTAAAAGGTGATGAAAGTCCATTTTTCCAATATGTTTACACTTTCTCATTGAAACCATCAAAACTATAAATGTCACATGTGGATTTTAGTAAACCAAAAAGTGTAGAGGGAAGAGTTTTGTGCATTTGTGGAGGGTCAGAAATCTGTGATTTTTTCTTAACTGAATTTAACTTTAAGTTAGATTTTTTTGTGACACTTTGACCAATCAGCAAGTTTTTTTTTAAACCCATCCATCCATTTTCTTCCACTTATCCGGGGCCAAGTCGCGGGGGCAGCAGTCTAAAGCAGGGACACCTAGACTTCCTTCACCCCGAGGTGTTCCCAGGCCAGCTGAGAGACATAGTCCCTCCAGTGTGTCCTGGGTCTTCCCCGGGGCCTCCTCCCAGTGGGACATGCCCGGAACACCTCCCGAGGGAGACGTTCGGGGGGCATCTGGAACAGACCACCTCAACTGGCTCCTCTCGATGTAGAGGAGCAGCGGCTCTACTCTGAGCTCCTCCCGTGTGACTGAGCTCCTCACCCTATCTCTAAGGGAGCGCCCAGCCACCCTGCAGAGGAAACTCATTTTTGTTCTTTCAGTCATTACCCAGAGCTCATGACCATAGGTGAGGGGAGGAACAAAGACTGATGGTAATCGAGAGCTTCGCCTTTTGACTCAGCTCCTCTTCACCACAATACACCAATCCTCCACCAATACAGCGATCACATCACTGCAGACGCTGCACCAATCCACCTGTCAATCTCACTCTCCATCCTCCCCTCACTTGTGAACAAGACCCTGAGATACTTGAACTCCTCCATTTGACATGGTCTCTTTGCCTTTTTAAAAAAACAAAAAACAAAAACAAAAAACATTGGTTCCAAACGAGAACCATGTTAGCTTGATGTGTAGATCTCTGTTCAGAGCACTACACACATCAGTCTGGAATGAACCAGGTTACTTCTTCTTGGTTGACTCCATGTTTTTCCTCCTCAGAACCTGGAGTTTCATGGTGTGATGAGGTTCTACCTGGAGGACAGCTCAGGGGAGAACATCGCCACCAAATGCCTGAGAGTCTCGAGCGTTTGGACCACGGAGCACCTCCTCCATCTTCTGTCTGAGAAGATCAGCCCTGACCTCAAGAGGCTCTCCGGCGCCCTCTGCCTGTGGGAAGTACAGGCAGGAAAAGGTGAAATGCTTTATTCCACTTTATTTACATGTTTTGTGTTATCTACTTATTTAATAGTTAATTGAATAGTGTATTTACTGTTTAAAGTGTCTGTACCTAATATTTTTCATGTAAAGTCAAGTTTGTTTTACCTCACTAGAGATGTATTGTAAAAGCAGATCTCAAAATGAGATGGTTTGGATCTAATTATAAAGTTGATTGTCTGCAAAACTTTGGTGCACTGTTAGCATACTAGTTGTTGTTAGCTCTACCAGGATGGCAAAAGTCTGCTCTGGTCTCTGACAGTTGTGTAAAGCTCTTCTAAACTCATCGTGGTGAATAATGAGGATGTTCTGAGTGCATAAGATAAATGAGGAAGAACTCTGGAGCACTGCAAACTCTTCACAATGAACTATTCTGTTTTTCATGTTTTTAAGACGGTAAAAATCAGCTACAGTGTCTTTATGTTGTATGTTTTGCTGTGTAGAGCGCAGACTGGAGCCGGAGGAGCGCCCCCTGGTGGCACAACTCAACTGGAACAGGAACAACAGAGAGGGACGGTTTGTGCTGAAGACAGAGAAGGACAAAGGAGAGAAGGTAAGACAAGAATCAACAACTAGAGAAAGGAAACAGGTTTAAAATAACACAACGCAGTTAAAGGTGCACTATGTAACTTTTCTGTTGAAATATTGGCCACCTGCTTATTTTTATGGAAACAAGCATGTGGCACTAATAGGCCAAGTTACAAGTCAGATCTGTGGAGAGGTGAGAGATGAGATGAGAGGAATTGAATGGATTTTTGAAAATAATTCTGAGCAATGAATAAACATTGGTAATGAAATAAATGCAAGATACATTTAATGCCGGACTGTAGAACATTCCCGTCAAAGCAATAACCCGGAGACGAACCAGAAAAGTTACACAGTGCAGCTTTAAGGTCTCAAAAAAGTCAGTTTAGGATAATACTGGATCTATAAAAACACTTTTCCTCTCCCTCTTTGTTTCTGCCATAACCAGGAAAACAGTTCGGATCAAAAAAGCAGCGTGATGCAAAACTTCAGGAGAAGTTTGTCCAAAAAAGACAAAAAGAAACTCAAGACCAGGTCAGTGAACACAACACGTGGAGAAGAGTGGGCTAAAGTATTGATTTATCATGATCCTAAATTTGAATGTATCGCGTATCAAGTATTTTTTCATATGTTTTATTAAATTATTTTGTGACAGTGCTACAGTTCTGATGCATGTTTGGTGAAAGAGAAAACATTTGATATATTCACTGTTTTGGTGATTAAAAAGGGTGGATTTCATGTTACGTTTGTGGAGGAAGTGGTTTAAATCAGATCTATTCTGCAAAATCAACTTTTTAAAGCTTTATGTTATAGTAGTTTCTTCACATTGACCCTCTGAAGTTGGGCTGGAGTTGTGTATGTTTGAGTCAGCTTTAATCACTTATTTTTAAGACACTGCTTTGCTGATAACTCGTGGACATATGTGCTTCGTTTGATTTTCTTAATCAGTGATACATGTGGGATTCAGCAGCATCACCTTGTCATTTTTAGTACAAATGAAACAAGCGCAATCAGCGACATCAACCTGGTCCCATGAGGCGTCGCTGTGTCAGTTCATCACCACAGAAGCAGTTTATGAGGAGTCCAGCCCATATCACATGATCATTATATCCACAATGTATTGTGTGATGTTGGTCACACATGAGAATGTCTGTGTTTACTAGTGTGGAACCAAAATGTCATTCTTCATGAGTTGTGTGTGTGTTAGTTGTGTGACTGTAGATCAGTGTGTTGTGTATCACCAGAAAAACAAGAAATGGAAATTATTTTTGTTCCAATTAGAATTTTAATGGCATACTATCTGATCTGGAAAACTATGAATATTTGACTATACAAATGCATAGAATTATAAATAGATAATTTTTCTGAGATTTTGAGACACTCCCGTTGCTCGAGCTCCATCCTTTGACCTTTGTTACCTTGACCTCCAAGTGACCTTGACCGGTTTCAACCTGTAACATCCAGTGCACCCTGGTTATGCGTGTGCCAACTTGTGTGATGATTGGGTGAATATTTTAGGCCACAGATGGTTCAGAAGTTGCAGAAATTGCCGATTCTTTATAATGACTTGACCTTTCAATTGACCCCTGTGACCTCAAATGACCTTGGATCATTACCAAACTTTTTTTGCGGCATCTGGCACGAGGGCTTGACCCATGTACCAGATTTGGTGACAATCAGTCCATAAATGGCAGAATTATCGCAGGTGGACACACACACAGGGTGAATACAAATCCTGGTCAACCCTTCGAGGACCAGGTAAAAATTCCCTGCTCTAGTGTGATGTGCAGTTATCCACGAGAGGCGCCTACAGCATGCGCCACTTCGTTGTCATGTCGTTTACGGCCACATCAGCTCCCACTGAACACCACAGTTTTCTAATACAGAAGTCAGCACACTTGATTCTTTTATTAATTTGTTTTAGAACAATATTGAGATTTAAAATGTGTAAATTATAACATACTGACCCACAGGTGTCATAGATTTTAACTATAGAACAGGCTCAAGCATAAACTCCTCTTTAACAAAGAAATATTCTTCAAATCTACTTGCTAAAAATGATTTATTATCACATTTATCTCAAACCTGTGACATGATTGTATGTATTGTGTTGTATTGTAGTTTGTATTGTGTTGTGAGGGACGCTGTGAGTCTGATTATATCTGTTACACATTATGAGACAATCACACACACAGAATAATCGAGTTATTATTTAAATCGTCTCTTTTCATTGAAATCCAGGTCAACTGAAATGTCCCCAAACAGAAGCAGCTCTGCAGAGACAAAAGACGAGCACAGAGGTACTGGGACTTTTACACACACACACACACACACACACACACACACACACACACACACACACACACACACACACACACAGCACACACACACACAGCACACACACACACACACACACACACGCACACACACACACACACACACACACACACACACACACACACACACACACACACACACACACACACACACACACACACACACACACACACACACACACACACACACACACACACACACACACACACACACACACACACACACACACACACACACACACACACACACACACACACATAATCATAATGAGGTTGTATTGGATTTATTATAATGTGATTTTTGGTCCTCTTATTTTAGATCCTCCATGTTTGCCCATCACAGTGAAATTCAGTGACAACAGTGAGTATGAATCCACCAGGTTTGTACCTGTGATGTTGTAAAAGGTTTTTAGAGACTTGTTCAGATCACTTCCTCTTAAGTGGTCATGGTCATATTACTGCCCACTGCACTTGTGTGAGTCTACTGTCCAGTTTATTAGACATACATTGAAAGCCAGGACTCATTCTTGTCCCTGTCCTGCAATGACAGAGACTTGGACTTCTTGTGTATTCAGATCCAACATTGATAATACATCAGAGATATTATTGTTCATTACTCTTCTACTTCTACATCACACACAGAGTATATTTAAAACACTGACTCTGCCATTGTGTCCTTAGGCAAGATACTTTACCACATTGTGTTGTGTGTGTCTGTGTGTGTGTGTGTGTGTGTGTGGTGTGTGTGGGTGGGTGTGTGTGCATGTATGTGCGTGTGTGTGTGTGTGTGTGTGTGTGTGTGTGTGTGTGTGTGTGTGTGTGTGTGTGTGTGTGTGTGTGTGTGTGTGTGTGTGTGTGTGTGTGTGTGTGTGTGTGTGTGTGTGTGTGTGTGTGTGTGTGTGTCTGTGTGTGTGTGTGTGTGTGTGTGTGTGTGTGTGTGTGTGTGTGTGTGTGTGTGTGTGTGTGTGTGTGTGTGTGTGTGTGTGTGTGTGTGTGTGTGTGTGTGTGTGTGTGTGTGTGTGTGTGTGTGTGTGTGTGTGTGTGTGTGTGTGTGTGTGTGTGTGTGTGTGTGTGTGTGTGTGTGTGTGTGTGTGTGTGTGTGTGTGTGTGTGTGTGTGTGTGTGTGTGTGTGTGTGTGTGTGTGTGTGTGTGTGTGTGTGTGTGTGTGTGTGTGTGTGTGTGTGTGTGTGTGTGTGTGTGTCTGTGTGTGTGTGTGTGTGTGTGTGTGCTGTGTGTGTGTGTGTGTGTGTGTGTGTGTGTGTGTGTGTGTGCACAGGGGCCGAGTCGAGGATTGGCAGCTTCACTTCAGTCAGTCTGGCCCAGGGCAGCTGTGGCTGCAGTAGTGTGTTAGTGTGGAGTGATGTAATGTTGTGTAAAGCTCTTGTGTTTGTCACATGTCTGTGTACATAGTACATAAAAAAGCTTGAGAGTCTTGAAGGTGGTGTACACAAGTACCTTAAACAGACATCATAGAAAACAGAAAATAAAAAATTGATCTTTTAAAAACATCTCGTCTTGATTCACATTTTAATGGTTAATTTGTTATAACTATGATCTGACATGCTCTTTGTTGTTTCAGCGGAGGATTCATTTCTGTGCGCGGTGATAAACTACACAAACAGCTCCACGGTTCATTTTAAACTGTCTCCAGCGTTCGTCCTGTACGCAGCCGCCCGCTCCCTCCTCTGCCCCAAAACAGGGTCAGGGGGAAGAGATCAGGGGTCAAGGGTCAGCGCACTCACAGACAAGATGGTGGAGCGCATGAGGAGGGTCATACAGGTGAGGATAGGTGATTCTTTAGGTCTTATCATCTGCAGAGAGCTAAATGTCCCTGTGTGTCAGATGCCCTCCCTGTGTCTCTATAAAGTCTTATTGTGTGTGAAAGCTGCTGACTGTGTATTTGTCCATCAGAGGCGTCCGAGCTCGCTGGGGGCTCTGTGTTTCTGGATGTCAAACTGCTGTGAGCTGCTCCACTTCCTGAAACAAGACTCTGAGCTGCAGCCAATCACAGAGCAGAGCCAGAGGGGGATGTCCCGCCTCCTGCACCACGCCTACAGGTAACAGACGACACAAGAGTCTAACTGCAGCCGCTGTTTGTGTGCTCACAGTTTTAACAATGTATTAGTATAGAGGAAACATGGTTAAGTCGGTTTTTTGAGGGTTTGGGGTCAATAAAGTATTATTCAACTATCTGTTGAAATTCACAAACTAGGAACTGTTGCTTTTTGAGCCTTTAGTATAAAACTTGATCTTTGTCAGTGTATTGAGTTATCACTTACTGTCTATCCATACAGTCATGTAACTGTGAATAAGTAAAAGCGTAAGTGAATGAGATTGAGTGCTAAAAAGTTCTTGCCTCAAGTGGACAGGAGGAACTCAGGGTAGAGCCTCTGCTCCTCCATGTGGAGAGGAGCAGCTGAGGGGAGGGCATCTGTTCCAATGCCTCGTGGACTCCTCCCTGGGGAGGTGATCATGTCCCACTGGGAGGAGGCCCCTGAACACGTTGAAGGGACTATGTCTCTCAACTGGCCTGAGAACACCTTGAGGTCCCACCGGAGGAGCTGGAGGAAATGTCTGGGGTGAGGGAAGTCTGGGCCTCCCTGCTCCTGCTCCTTCCACGACCTGGCCCTAGACAAAGCAGAAGAAGACTAAATTCATGTTTATTTTGTCCTCTTTGTTCTCAGATCTCTGGTTGATTGTCTTCAATCTGAGCTGATGAAGCATCTGCCCACGTTCCTCCTGGAGCCTCAGACTCACGGAGCTCTGCCCAAAGGAATCGGTAACTTTAGGTTCTACAGTCTACGTGTAATATGCTATTTACCACAAATCTGACCTCCCTCCCTCTCTCTCTCATCTCAGAGTTGGTCCTGAACACCCTGATGACGTCCATGTCTCTTTTTCGTCGTTGTAAACTCCACGCTGCTCTCTCCATCCAGCTCTTCTCTCAGCTCTTTCACTTCATCAGTGCGTGGCTCTTTAACCGCCTGCTCGCCCCTCAGCCTGAGCCTGCAGCTTTGTGCTCTCACCACTGGGGGGCGACTCTGAGGCACAGACTGAGCCCCATAGAGGCGTGGGCAGAGAGGCAGGGACTGGAGCTGGCTGCAGACTGTCACCTGGGCCTCATCACACAGGTGAAGACTTCATGTTCTCTGGTCTTTGGGGTTGTGTTATTTTGTATGGAGCTGCTGAACTTTACAGCAAATAAGATCTACAAAGTCATTTTAAAGCCTACTATAAATGTTAACTCAGACGTGGTGTAGTGAGCTACTTAAGTTATTGTAGCCACAGCTGCCCTGGGGCAGAGCTTGCGGGCAAACACAGAGGGTTGTTGGGGTAATTACATCCATGTCTAAAAATGCTTTAAATATTTGTCTATTTAGTAACCTGTGTTTTACCTCTGGCCCTCAGTACACTGGTTATGTTAGTATATTTATATAATGTTAGTATATATTATATCTGTGTATGTTTGTGTCCAGGCGACGGCTCTGTTGACCCTGGAGCCCTGTGTGCAGCTGCAGAAGGCTCAGAGCCTCTGCTCCAGACTGAGACCTGCCCAGATCCAGGCTCTACTGCAAGGATCCAACTACAGACCACAACAGAAGGACAATGTGAGTACAGAGAAGGTTACAGGACTAAACCAGGACTAAAACAGTTCTACAAGAGGTCTAAACCAGGTCTAAACCAGGTCTAAACCTGGTCTAAACCAGGTCTAAACCAGGTCTCACTTATCCTCTGTCTTCTTTAGGACTGGGTTGCTGGTCTGATCTCTGCTGCTCAGTCCAGTTCAGACCAGAGTCCAGACCTTCCCCTGGAGGAGAGTCTGACCCTGCACCTGCCCCTCCTGCTGCCCGAACACGGGTACTGCAGCCAGACCCTACGAGGGGTTCCACCAGGTCTCACCGAGTTTATGGAGCCAGTCTGCAAAAGAGGTCTGAACCAGGACTAAACCAGGACTAAACCAGGACTAAACCAGGACTAAACCAGGACTAAACCAGGACAGAACCAGGACTGAACCAGGACTGAACAGTACAAAACCAGCACTAAACCAGGACCAGAGAATGATCCATCCGTTTGTGTGCAGGTCTGTGTTCTGTGAGCCCTGCACCTTTGTCCTCAGGAGACTGGACAGTACATTTCAGTGACACAGCCCCCTCCTCTGAGACCTCTTATCTGGTAACAAATGCATACGAATTTTTAAATAAATGTTTGGTTAGTGAAGGATTGAGTTTTAAAAGGACACATACATTATACACAGATATAATGAACACTCACTCTCTCCTTATTCTTGACTTCAAGCTGTTCCAACGTCCTCCATCGCCAGAGCAGTTAAACTATTCAAAATATTATATCTTTAGAATTGGGACAAAATTTTGCAAATCAGAAAGGAATAACTTGGCTGAAAACCATAAATACAGTTCTGAGTATCACTATTTAACAACATTTGTACAATTGGTAATTAACTGCATTTATGGACAGTCATAATACAAAATGTACTAGGAGCACACTGCTCAAATTCTATTAAATGATTATTGTTATTTTAATGATCATGTTGTTTGTTTCACAGGAGCCTCACAGAGAACCTGATGTGCAGACTGTTACTCTGCACAAGCCTCTGAACAGTGGGATGGGCCTCAGCATCGTGGCTGCTAAAGTCAGTCCAAACTTGTATTATTAGTCCAAAATACAATTAATACTACAAGTAATACTACATATATCAATATATTAAACAAACAACTGTACATTTCCCAGGGAGCAGGTCAGAGTGAACTGGGAATCTACATCAAATCCATCGTGAGAGGAGGCCCTGCAGAAATGGTAACACTCTGAATGTTTTTTACTGTAACTATCTCACAACGCAACTTTATTTCTGAGAAGAGCATGATATTATATAGAGAGAAAACATGGGTTGTGGAAAATATATATATATATATATTACATATATTACCATACTTAATCAAGTAGTAGTAGGTAGTAGTAATAGTATAATTATTTTAATATGTATGTTTCTTAGAAGTGTCATTACTAGCACAATAAAAATAGTAGTTTATAGTAGTTAATAGTAGTTAAAAATAGTAATTTAACTAGTAGTGTATCTACTAGTACTTTTGACTCTGTGTAGAGTAAATAAACCACTGGAGTCACATTCTGAAAACACTGCTCAGTGTCATACTTTGAAAGTGTAAAACTTAACCATGAAACACTTTCACACAGAAATAGAATCAAATGTTAAATTAACACTTAACACATGTTAAGTGTTAATTTAACACTTGAAAATGTCCTGAGCAGTTACAGGACTCGCCCTAATACACTGCTAGAAGTAATAGTAGCTGGGGGCATATATATATCATAGTAACAGTAGTACTAGTAAGTGTAGTAGTAGTAGTAATAGTAGTAGTAACAAAAGCAGCAGCAGTAATAGTAGTAATAGTAGTAGTAGTAGTAGTAGCAGTAACAAAGCAGTAGTAGTGGTTAGTTATTCTGTACTTTCAGATGTGATATCAGCACCAACACAGTAATGTAAAGCAGTAATAGTAAAAGTACATTATTTTGTGTGTCTTTCTTGTTCAGAACGGCCGTGTGTCATGTGGAGACCAGCTGCTCACAGTGGACGGACAGAGCCTCATCGGCCTGAGCCAGGAGAGGTCTGAACATTTAACATTTTATTTATCTGAACACATTTGTACAGGATTAAAGGCTTCAGACGCTGTCTGATCTGTGATGATAAAACACGTCTCTATAATATCCTTCAGGTCAAATATTCCTGTAATGTGGACGTGCACTGTAAAACTTAGACATGGCTGTAAATTTGAGGATCATTTTATGAAGTGTGTAAATGTGAAGTGCGGTAAATGGGTCCGATTTATGGTTCTGTTCAGGTCAGTCAGTTTTATGTTTTTTGAGAGTCCAAAAAATGAGATGTAAAAAAGAATAAAGTATAAAAATGTGCTGAGATGACCTGGAGAGGGAGTGTTACATGATTTTGATGGACAGTCTCAAAATGTGAACTAAATATTTGAGATACTGTTGTCCAAGATATTAGGGCTACAACAATCATTATTTTAGTAATGACTTCTCTGCAATTCATTTTTACAATTTCCAATTTCCAACTTTTTATAATTGTACATTGAAATATTCCGAAATACATTTTTAAAGGTTTTACGGTTGAAATATGGTGACTGCAGACTTTTAGATGAAGAACAGTTACATATAATGTATTATTAATGATGGACATTTGAAATGTATTCTATTTTTGACTTAATATTTATTTAATTTAATAATACCACTCTCTTTGTTCTAAAATGTGATTTTAATAGTTCACTAGTTGCAGCCCAGTTACCCAACCTCCAGTATATTTAGTCTTAGTTTAGACCTGGTTTAGTCTTGGTTTGATCCAGTTTTTCTCCAGACTGATTCAGTCCCTGATTTAGACCTGTTTTATTCCTCATCTAGACCTAGTTTAGTCCTAGTCTAGACCTGGTTTAGTCCGGATCAAATTCCTGAAATAAATAAATAAAAATACATTTTAGTCTGGCCAGTCAGGCCTCACACATGAACATGTCCTCTCATAATATCAGAATATTGACATATATAATATCCTTATTCTGTACAAAGACTCACAGTCAAAGAGAAAACTAAAACCAAAGTTATGGCTACACAATAATAAAACTAAAAAATATCAATTCAACACTTGTGATTGCTGTCGATACAGGAGATAGGTGACATACTGTAGGTCATGTTCATATTTTTTATTGTGTGTTCTGTGTTTCAGAGCGGTGGACATACTCATGCAGACTGGTCCTGTGGTCACTCTGCAGGTGTCTAAATACGCTGCTGGGTTCCACGGTTTAGAAGAACTCCTGAGAGACAAAAAGCAGGGAAAAGAAACAGGTAAGAAGAAGGACTATTGTGGTTTTCAGATTCTAGAATGTGTTGAAGTGATACTCCCAAATGGAGGCAAAAGACAGTTTTTCCTGTGAATTACATTGTACTTTATCATGAAATATTCGAAAGGTAAATTCACAAATACTGAACTTGATCATACAACAAAAATCTGCAGTTGAACAATATTCATTTGAGTTGCCTCCATCTGTGTTAAATAACGTTGGCCGAGAAAAGTCACCTGAAACCAGCAACAGAAGAACTGAATGAAAAACTCCTGAAAGGAGACCAAGAAGGAGAATCTATCTATTTAAATTTTAATTAATTATTTATTATGTTAAAACTTTTTAAGACAAAGATTGGGTTATTTTATTTATATTTTTTAAATGTATTTATATTTTTAGTAAATCAAAACCATGCTGAAGTCAGATCCAACAGCAGCCTGATGCACCACAGCAGCAGCTTGGTATGAAGAGAAGCAGCAGAAGGAGTAGTAAAAGTAGAAGTAGTAGTAGCAGCAGCAGTAGTAGTAGTAGTAATAGTAGTAGCAGTAGTAATATTAGTAGTATTGTCACAGTCACTTTACAGTATTGTGCACTCTTCATTCACTGGTGATCAGATACTACTGGGGTCACAGCTGCCCTGGGACAAACTGACTGAGGTGATGCTGCCATTCCACACCACACAGCCCCTCTCACCACCACCTAAACACAGTCGCACTAGTCACTGTGGGTGAAGTGTCTTGCCTAAAGACACAACAACAGTTTACATTAGGATAAACCCCACTGTAGCACCTGGTATACCCAGTGGTGTTGTAGTTGTTTTAGTTGTAGTAGTAGTAGTTGTAGTAGTAGTAGTAGTAGTAGTAGTAGCAGTAGTTGTTGTAGTAGTAGTAGTAGTAGTAGTTGTTGTAGTAGTTGCTGTAGTTGTAGCAGTAGTAGTAGTTGTAGTACTTGTTGTAGTAGTAGTTATTGTAGTATTTGTAGTAGTAGTAGTAGTAATAGCAATAGTAGTAGAAGTAGTAGTAGTAGTAGTAGGGCAAGGCAAGGCAAGTTTATTTGTACAGCACAATTTGTACACAAAGTAATTCAAAGTGCTTTACAGAATAAGAAATACATTAAAATCATAATAAAAACAAATCAAAACATAAATAATCATGAAGATTAAAATTAAAAAAGAGAGACATAAATTGGAGAGAAGAGTGCGGAATGAAAACCTTTCAGTTATTTGCACAGTTAAACAGAAAAGTTTAGAGTCTGGATTTAAACAGCGTCACAGAAGAGTCTGTCTCACATGTTCAGACTGTTCCAGGTTTTAGCTGCATGAACCTGAAACTCTGACTCCCCTTGTTTAGTCGTGACTCTGGGCACCAGCAGGAGGCCGGTCCCTGAGCTCCTCAGAGTGCGAGATGGTTCATATGACACTAACATGTCACAGATGGACTTTGGTGCTCGGCCATGGAGACACTTGTACAAACAGAGCTGCTTTAAAGTCTCTGAGCCACAGGAGCCAGTGCAGAGACCTGAGCACAGGACACATGTGCTCGTACTTCCTAGTTCGAGTCAGGACCCGAGCTGCAGCGTTCTGGATGTTCTGGATGTTCTGGATGGATGTTCTGCAGCGTCTCACAGCTCGTTTGGAGAGACCAGTGAGCAGAACATTACAGTATCTAATCTACTGGAGACAAACGCATGGATAAGTTTCTCCAAGTCTGATTTAGACAGTAAACCTTTGATTTTTGCTCTGTTTTTTAGATGGTAAAAGGCTGCAGATGTTATTGATTTGATGTGGCTGTTAAAGTTCAAGTCTGAGTCCATTATTACCCCTAGTAGTAGTAGTAGTAGCAGTTGCAGTTGTTGATGTTGGTGTTGTTGGTGTAGTTGTACTTGTAGTAGTAGTTGTAGTAGTAGTAGTAGTAGTAGTTGTAGTAGTAGTAGTAGTAGTAGTAGTAGTAGTAGTTATAGAAGTAGTAGTAGTTGAATGAGCTCTTTTGTGGTGAGTTCAGAGTTTACAGTTTAGTTTTTTGTCCCACAGACTGAGCTGAGCTGCAGAAAACAGAGAGAGAGTCAAGTGCAGAGGAACCGACAGCTGTACCGCTCCAACCCCAACATCCTGCGTGAGTGTGGACCACCACCAGGGGCAGCACTGAGCTGCTCTCCTGTCATTACAACAATCATCATATTCTATGTCCCTGTTTGTGTTTGTGTTTGTGCAGATCTGGTCCTGGAGGAGGAAGAAGAAACATATGAACCCAAACTGAGACAAAACAAGATGATGACGGCCAACTCCACCATTAACCTCTGCTCTGGGGTCAGTCACAGGATTTATTTATTTTTTTGTACTCAAAATAATTTTAACAGCTTCCATAATAAATCAGTAAACACAACAGTGGCTATGCACACACTCACACTGGTTCACACTCTGGTTTCCGGAGTCGCCCACTGATCCAAAAGTTGGCGGTTGGAGTCCGGCTCTTGACAAAAAATAAATAAATAAAAAATAAAATAAATAAATAAATACAACAGTGTGTGTGTGTGTGTGTGTGTGTGAGTGAATGTGTAAGTGGTTTTTGTTGTAAAACGCTTTGAGCCTTGAAGTTGGAAAAACACTGTATAAAAATGTGACCATTTACCCTTTATTCTACATCAGTAAATACTAGACATATAATATTTACTTCATTATTTCATCACAGCAAATGCAATTAATTATGACAATATTTTATATATTTTACTTAACTTATTTACATAAGTATGACTTCTAACTTAAAAATTCATGACCGTTAATGGTGGTGGTAAGTAGATTTTACTTAATACTGACAAGTAAACTGTACCTGATTTTACAGCAGTAAAATTTACTTATAAAGTTCTAGTGCAAATTACTACGAGGATTTTTTCTAGTAAATTTTACAGTTTTTTTTTCAGTATGGCTCCAGTTCACGCTCTTTTGAAAAACTGTCGCCTCTATTTGTAAATGCTGCTGTCAGAGTCGTCATTCTGGTCTTAAAATGTTCATATTAACCCGCTCTACATGATCCTGGGTTATTATTTTGCTGTTGTGTCTGTAAATAAATTCCTATTATGGAAGCTCAGCTCCAAATTCACTCCTGTAACTGCATGCCTCGGTGAGCTTCATTTGACTGGGCCACTTCATCTTCTTTATACAGTCTGTGGTTGGGACAGAAAGACATGAGAAACTGCCAAATCAAAATAGAAAATACTAAAATATGAAGGGAAATGTCCACACTACGACTATGGTACATTAAAAATTCATCTAGTTTCAATCTAATGTTTTGTTTTTTTCATTTCTAAATAAGTAAACTGATTATTTGTGTTCCCTGATTTCAGAGTCACTACAGTGTTCCAAATGCTCCAAGAGAATATCTGACTTTACCCAGTACGAAAAACAAGGAGAAACCTGAATCCAACCAAGAGCCCACATGTAGACCATCTACAACAAGAACAACGGATCAAAACAACTACAGGAAAACATATCTGGTACTACTCCTCCACTCCATCTGACCATCTGACCATCTGACCATCTGACCCTCTCCTCTGTTCCTCTCACCATCTCCTCTTCCTCTGCATCCTCTGTGCTTCTCTCCCATGCTCCACTTGACCCCCTCCTCTACTCCTCTGCTCCATCTGACTCTCTTCTCTGTATCGTCTGCTCCATCTGACCTTCTCCTCTTCCTCTGCATCCTCTGTGCTCCTCTCCTATGCTCCACTTGACCCTTTACTCTGCTCCTCTGCTCCTCTGCTCCACTGGCTCTCTCCTCTGCATCTTCTGCTCCGTCTGTCCCTCTCCTCTGCATCCTCTGACCCTCTCCTCTGCTCCTCTAATCTTCTCCTCTACTCCATCTGACCCCCTCCTCTGACTTTCTCCTCTACATCTTCTGCTCCATCTGTCCCTCTCCTCTGTTCCTCTGGATTGTCTGACTCGCTCCTCTGCTCCTCTGTTCCTCTGACTCTCTCCTCTCCTCCATCTGACCCTCTCCTCTGCTCCTCTCCTCCATCTGTCCCTCTCCTCTGCTCCTCTGACTCTCTTCTCTGTTCCTCTGCTCCCTCTGACCCTCTCCTCTCGAAAACTACAATTTTTTACAATCATTTCTTCTCTCTTTGCAGCGTCAGGCTCTGTCCCATGAAAACCTCCTGTGCACGGACACAGATCGCCCTCTGGTGGCCAAACGACCTGAAATGCAGCTACTCCAGCGCTCTCCTCCCAAACACAGGAACCAGCTCTCCTCTTTCCCAATACGCCAGAGTGTATCCACGCACGACATCCTTTCTGAAAAATCTAAACAAAACACTCAAATCGGCCCTATCATTTGGAATACTCCCTTTAGTAACAGCCCTGTGCCTGCTCCTTCAATTCAACCCATTCGCATTGACATCCCTTTAACAAGAACTTATCATTCAAATCCTACTCTCACTACTTTTCAGAGTCCATCACAACAAATGACTAAAACTAGTCAAAAAATATATGAAAGTACAACCAAAAAATGTATAAAACAAATACAAGATCATATTTACGAAAGTCCAGTGAGAGTGACTCAGACCAGCCCAAAGTCGTGTTTGGGAAATAAAGAAACGAATGGAAGGAAACCTCAAGTGAACGTGACACCGACTAAACATGTGTCTTTTCAAATGGATCAGAAAATCAAAAGAGGAGAGAAAGAGAGAGGGAGAGAGGAGGAGAGAAAAAGAGAGGAGGAGAGGAGGTGGGATGTGTGGAGAAGAGAGGAGCTGGAGAGACAAGAGGAGCAGAGGAGAGTCCAGAGGGTGGGTTGATTTTGGAGGATGTTAACTCACAAGGAAAAGTCTTTAATCATCACATTTATATTGCGCCTTTCAAGACACTTTACAGATCATTATTCATTCACTCCACACTCAGTGGTGTAAACTACTACTGTAGCCACAGCTGCCCTGGGACAGACTGATGGCAAATCCAGCTGTTGTGGCTTAATTTGAACAGAATCTTTCTTTGACTCCAGTGGAGTTTCTTTTTCCTCCTCAATTGGTTCTTTTGGTAGAGATTTTGACTGGTTGATTACATCCTCACAAACGGCGGCTTGTTCCTCAAATTTTTCAGTTTTGGAATAATCAGTGGTAAAGATTTTTTCCACACTTGTTGTAATTTCCTGTGCTGCTACTTTAACAAGATCAGTAAAAGATGACTGTGACTGAACCTCTTTGGCCTTCAACTCTAGACTTCTTGGATCCTTTTTGGAGAGTTCAGTCTCACTCTCTGTCAGCTCCTGTGGCTCAGCTGAAATTCAAAGGAGCAAACTCAACCTCAGTCAGAAACTGTATCAGTGCCAACAGAGAAGGTCCAAGAAACTGAAAAAGACAAAGAAACTCCACTGGAAACGTCCAAAGACTGTTCAGATTGAGCTCACACACACTACACTGTCTTACTAGCCAATGTGGGTGAAGTGTCTTGCCTAAGGACACAACAACACTTTTTACACTGGTACCTCACCTGGTGTTCCCAGTGGTCTCCCCAGGCCTGACCTCAGTTAGCTTCTGAGATGTGACGATCTCAGGCTCTGACAGTACAACTGCAAACATGCTCTGCTTTAATTACATGTTTTCCCAAACTTAAGAATTGCTTTACATTGTTACATATCATGACTAGACACAGACACATCTCCAAATCCAAGGCCATGGTTTCCTTTTTAAAAATAGGGAAGAATTGGAGGAGCTGATCGAGAGGAGCAGCTGAGGCTCAGGCATCTGTCCCGCTGGGAGGAGGCCCCGGGGAAGATCCAACAGGGACTATCAGGGCATCTGACATGAGTCTGAACTCTCTCCTCCTCCTCTCCTCTGCCTCTCACAGGTGCAGCAGATGGAGCAGGAGGTGCACAGACTTCAAGCCAAGTCGAAGCGCTCAGTGGAAGAGAGCGACCGATTAAAGAGGCTGAGTTTGGAGTTCGAGTTTCAGAAGCGACTGAATGAGATGGAGGAGAGAGAAAGAGAGATAGAGGATGGGCAGAGAGAAAGAGAGGAGGAGGAGAAGGAGGGAGAGAGGGAGGACCTAGACATCATGAGGACCATACAAGAGCTGGAGCCAAGGACCCGGGTGAGAAAAGATTTACAATTACACTGTTATTTCAGTTTTAAAATCCAAACTCAGGACTACTTCCTGTATTTTTACCCCCAACTTTTCTTCACAAACTACAACTTAACTGATGTAAATATAAATATAAGTGCATAGAAGAAAAAGAACATTGTTTCCACACATTCTGGATGTTTCCCTGGTTAAAATGATGAGATTTAAGCCCCAATGAAAACTGCAGTGGTGTTACTGCGCCCTACAGTTGTTTACTCATTAATGATAGACCTCTGTTATTTGTATTTGTCAGAATTATTATTAAATATTCCAAAAGGAAAGTCCTCAAATGTTGATTTTAGTGACAGGATCCATTCTCCCGCTCTATTTATCCAAGCATCATAACATGTGGGAGGGCATCTGACACACCATAACTTTTGCAGATTAACTAGAGACACTTGACCTGCCTCATCTCAGTCTGACACACAGGGTACAGGAGGACGGGAGGGCATCTGACACAAAGATCCAGGTAGATGGAAGGGTATTTGATGGACAGAAATACATGCAGTGGTGTTGAAACTGTAAAATAACTCAATTTACCAAAACCAGAAAAGTGAAACGTGTGTGAGGAAACTACACGAGAAATTGGATCCATTTTAGCTTTAATCCATCCATAACACCCTAAGGAGACACAAGGACATTTAGCTCTCAAATATATGAAATATTTGTACAATTTAATATCATAACTATTTTTTAATTTCATTTTTTAGGTCAAGAGAAACACAGGAAATCCAACTTGTGCCCAAAAGGAAAAACAAACGAAATTGAAATTGTCGTGGAAAGATGATCAAGGAAGAACTGGTAATTTCATTTGAACTTTTTTATTTACATTTTTTAAATACAGAATTTATTGTTTAACACATTTCTCCTCTTCCAGATGAAAAACACAACGGAAAAGATGCAAACAACAAAGCAGCCAATCAGTGAGTTTACAGTTAAAGCACCACTGTGTAACTTTTCTGATGGAGCGTCTGCTATCTAGTCTCCATGGAGAGTTGGAGTTATCGCTTTACCAGAAATGCCCCACAGTATGGCATTAAATTAATCTATATCCATGGAGACAAGAACATCACAAGTCAGATCAGTCGAGAGGCGAGTCCGCTCACTGATTTCATGGTACATTTTAAGCAATAAAACACTTGTAACTGAATCCTGCAAGATTGTGAGAGGTTTAATGCCATACTGTGGAACATTTCAAGTAAAGCTTAAAGAAGCAGGTGGCTGATCCTCCACAAGAAAAGTTACGCAGTGAAACTTTACGTACATACATTTCCTTCCAAGCTATGACAAAATCCCTGAGTACAACAACTTAACTCAAAAACACAATCTAAGTTCATGTGTGCGTTATTTTTCAAGTTTTACATTGTTTCTTTATGTTTTTAATGTTTTTTTATTTACAGAATTTCAGAGGAGAAAGTGAAACCTCTGGCTCCTGAACAGCTGACGTTTAGAGAGCGACAGCAGCTGTTCTCTTTGGCCTCCAGTGCATAAACAGACTGAATACTTTGTAAATAAGAAACTAAAAATATAATGAAATATATTTGTTTGTGTTTGTGTGTTAGCAAAAAGTAAGCTTACTCGTAGTACCATATAAAGAGGTATTGTGTAGTTTAGATCCATTTTTACTAATTTTGTGAGTCTTTCTGTGAACTTTTATTAATTTAGTTGTTTAATTTCAGTTATTATTCCATATGCTGGGACTTCTATCTAATTAGTGCAATAGTACATGTTCAATAGAGAAGAGAAAAATGAGTTTAATTATTTTTGGCGCGTGTAGAATGTCCACAATAAAATAAAATAAAATAAAAATCAGATTTTTGATGTTTCCTGTATTTTGTAATATTTCTCTTAGTAATTGCAGAAGAAATATTTCATAAACAGTATGACTTCAGAGTTCAGGACGGCGTATACTGTATATAAAACAGTTACATAGAAATATTCATATTGCTAAAGTTTTTGCAGACTAAAAACTTTTCTTTCATTTGTCTTGTTTAAATCTTGGTTCTCTGGTAAAACTGCACCACAGCCTTCTCCTGCTCGTGCGTCTCGATGGAGCCCGGCCGGATCCTCCTGATCTCGTTGATGGCGTCGATCCCGGACAGTTTCCTGGTTTTGACGAGATAACACGCCAGCATGGTGCCCGTCCTGCCAAAGCCGTGCATACAGTGCACCGCCACGCCCTGAAAAACACACAGACACACACAGAGGAGTGAGTACGAAACAAACAGACACTGGCATGATCAGTGGGTACAAACCATAGACTCTATGCCACACCGTTCAGCTCCAGTCAAATGAAGCTCATTGATACATCTGCATCAGGAGGGAATAGGCTCTATCCATGCTTACGTCACAAACCAGGAAGACATTTGGAAACATGTGGATGACAGCTTCCGGTGTAGTTCCAGACACTGGGCTCGACTGACTGTGATCAAACCCACTGAAGTAAATGTGATCAGAGGTAAAATGAAGACTGCAGATGTATGTGCTGTTTGGAATCATCTGGAATTTGGCCTAATCTCTTCTAATCACATGTACCAGTGCACTCAGAGTTGTGTGTCAGTGGGGAAATGATGAAAACTGAGGGATGGTTGGAATTCTTGACTGGCCAAACATAACAGAACTCTACAATAACATGGGGATGAAGAAATGAAGTGTGAACAGAGCCCATCACCTCTCCACAAAGACAAACCGGTGACAATCAGCTCTATTCACGCTTACATCCCAAAACCGGATGCGGGTGACGACTTCCTTTGGGCTCTGTTGGCAGTAATAACTCTGGGAAAACTGAGCAAATGGTCCGGTTTTCTTCATCCAAATGTCATTGTATTCTTTCTTTTTCCCTTTTTTTGTCTATTCATTTGTGTATTATAATTTGTCTAACTTGATAATAATAAAAAAAGGTGCCATTGTAGCGTTGTGTAATGTTTATCCCGTCCAGTCCCCCGTGGAAAACTTTGGCAGGTTGTGAAGATGCTGCTGCTGAATCCACAGTTTTATCACATGTCCACCGGAATTCGTCATCCGCATGTTTCCAAACGTCTTCTGGTAAGCGTGAATACAGCCTATACCCTTCCTCTGAAGGCAGATGTGAAACCTTGGCTCCACTCATTTCTGCTCTCTGCTCTTCTATTGTCAAAACTGTCACACTATCAGACTGAAGTAACATGGATGAAGTGTGACAAAACAGGAACGGCTAATCTAATCACAAATGGTTAAAGTACTGAAGAGAATGATTTCACTATTTCTCGACTAAATGCGAGTTAAAGTTCAAAATGTGAACCCACGTACGGACTAGAGATGGGCATGATTAGTCGATTAATCGATAATTGATCATTAAGAATTTCATCAATTATGTTCATTTTAATCGACAACCCGAATGTAGGTTGCTGTGTGTAGTGTGACCAAACAGGTCTGTACATGTGTCTCTGCATCAGAAGGAGCGAGACACAAACAATCAGTCAGTCTACAACGTACCAAAGCACAAATGCATATTTAACAGTGATTTGTACATGAAATTTCACGCTTTCCATTGCGTTCGGGACAAGTGTGAGTCCATGTGCACAGTGCACAAAGCAGCACATATGTTTCTGTGTCCAGTGGGAAAAAGTTTTACCAGGTGAGAGTCGCACAATGTCGATGACGAGTCCCCGCCCCCCTCCCCCCGTACGGTGTCCTGGTTTTGACAAACGCAAATCTGGTCACACTAACCTGTATTCACCTGAGTCATGTCTTTTAATTCGACAGAAGTTGAACCACATCAGCGACACAAGAGCTGTAGTTTTATCTTCGCTTAGTTTATGCAAATTAGCGATGTGGTTTTAAGTTTTGTTTCTGTGAGAGTTGAACAAAACTGAATTAAACACATTATAATGTCAAACAGGCTGATGTGGCTCTAGAGTGGTTACGGTTTATATGTCGTAAAGCTGAATTTATTTATGCAGATTAGTGCAGATAGTAACAATAATGATCATCATTTTAATATAAAAAACTTTAATGATTAATCGATAATCGATTGTTAATTCTTCCGACGATTAAGAAAATTTCATCGAATGCCCGTCCCTAGTACGGACAGATGTCAGATCAGCCCCGCTCAGGTCACAGAGGTGAGGATAAGAGCCAGCAGAGTTTACAACACCTGATTAATGAGTGACAGACTGCAGCCCTGTGTGTCAACTGTGAACTATTACACTATTAGACTCAGTAAACCCTTTGTGACTAAAAGTACAGTACATCTATGGACACACCCAGACCGTGGTAATACTGGAATACCTGGTGCAATGGAGTTCAACAGTGGGCGGCACTTCTGAATACAAACGTAAAGCTGCCGTTCACTTCTGTCTAAACTTGATTCTAAAATATAAAGTTACTGGGGAATCGTCAGAAATAGAGAAACTACACAATGGCTATACAATAAACATTAACAACTGTATTGAAAATGCACTCTCAAAGAAACCAATCAACGTACACAGGACCCTCACTTCCAGCTCAGCTCTTGTCATCTTGACCTATGTCCTCAGAGGTATAATACTCCCTACAACAGAAGCATAGTCAGACTGGAATGGATAATACTAGAAAAGTGTCCTGAGGGTCCATGTCTTTGTGCTGGGGCCTGGACTGATGTAAATACACTACTCCTGCGTTGGAAGTCTAACCTCATGCCTACAAATCTCCAACTACTTCAGTTTATTCTACAACAGTGAATGCCGTATTGTGGAACATTCCAGGGAGAACAGTAACATGTCAGTGTATATAAGTAGGTGGTGAACCCTCTAGTTGAAAGATTATATAGTGCACCTTTAATAAAACCCTGATACATGATGGACCACAATTAAAAAAAATAACTAGTTCTGTTTTTCAACGGTTTCAAGGACCCATATTAAGCCCTGTTCACACGGGATTAGTCTGACCTGTGGACCTTTGGTGATTTGTAATAATTGCGGAGATTCTTCAGAACATAATCCTGTGCGAATATGCCATGTCTGTAATTTGTAAAGTAAAAAAATCAGCCACAAATTACATACAAGGTTCCTACAGGATAAATTCAAGTCTTTTTAAGACCTTTTTAAGACCATTTATATAAAAATGTAATACCTATTTCACAGCCTATTTCGTAGATCTACCGGCAAAAAAAAAAAAAAATTCTTGAATTACATACTGAGTTACGTTCTGAACAGCCAGATATAAAAAAAATCTAGATTTTTAAAAGTCTTTTTATTTGATTTACTATTAATCCCAAATTCATCACTTTTAAGACTTTTTAAGACACTGCAGGAACCCTGTATGTACTATATTTGGCCAAACATAGACGTCCGGTGATAACACTAGTCCTGTGTGAATCTGCATCTCAGTGTTTGTTGTTGTAATTGTGCCTTTTCTATCTTTCTTTTCTTTCAGCGTTCGTTTCTCTTTCAGTCTTAGAAAAATAGAGTAATTTATGGACTTTGCATATCCCGAGTAACACAGAGGTGGGGCGGTAATTTGCAAATTACTAGACGTCCCCAAGCTGTACTTATCCCATGAGAATAGAACTTTACTCTGTTTTCTGATCTATGCTCTAATGTCGTTTCCTCATCACAAAGAGACCTGGAGTTGTGTTTTGTTTCATTCACAAATGTTTAACACACAAACCCTGTATATTTAGGCTGAGTTCTTCTCTCAAAATGAAAACACTCTGTTCCACCTTGAGTTGTCACGTGGTAATACAAGAACCTTCACTAGAATCATTTGAATCATTTGGATCTTTTCAGCTTTGGAACTGCCAGTCTCTACTGAACTAAAGGTAAAAAGAGCTGTTCACTTGAAAAATACCACTCCATGACATCACAAGGTGGAACAGAGCATTTTGAGCTTTGAAGATGTAGACAGACTAATAATAAAGAGTTAGTCAAACATGTGTGAATGAAATAAAACTCAACTCCAGGTCTGTTTTTGAGGAGGTAACAACATCTAACATGGCTTAAAGCTCAAAGAGTCAATTTTGAGAATTATGGGACCTTTAATAATTCCCTGACACAGTTCCATCTCTGCTGTAGATATCTGACCTCTCCTTTGGCGTTGGCCTTCTCCACGATGCTGAGGAAGTTGTCGATCTGTGCGGGCGAAGGGGGCGTGAAGTCTGTGATCTTCAGGTGGTGCTGCGTGAGCTCTGGGCAGGAGTCGTGGTTGGGTGGGCGTCGCTCTGTCAGAGAAACCAGGTGTTTGATGCCGTTCTCCACAAGGTACCTGTACTCAGCCGGGTACCGGGGCAGAGCCAGGCCCGCCACCTTCCCCTGGTCCACCCACGTGAAGTTATGAGGAGCAGAACCCATGGTACAAGAGCTGAGGAGGAAGAGGGACAAGAGGTGACATCACGGTTTGACTCTTGTGCACTATCTCCTATTTCACGATCAGGTGTACAATCATTGAGTCATATACATATGTCATTCTAGAAAAATATCAAGCTCATGTTGAGGTTTGTTAAGTGTTTACTTAAATTGAACATTTCTTACTACAAATGTCTGTGAAATCCGCTTGGAAATATCTTTTGTGTGACCGAGTCGGCAGCATTTTTTTGTTGCTTTTCTATATTTCGTGTCAGCCATAGTATTTTTACTTTTTGGTTGGGTCACCTGCTTGTTTCTGTGGACAGGTCTTTACTCTGCTTCAAATGTTCCACAGTGTCACATTAAACAACTCTACTTTACATTTATTCAAATACAGGTGGTTTTATAGCTATACTACAACTTCTATCCTCCAACCAGTCAACGTGAGCTAGAACAGTCTGTGCAGATTCATTTTCCGCTGTCCCTTCAGAACTCACAACTGTACGATGTATCACCAACCGTCCTGCTCACTCTGTCCTCCCGACGTCAACTTCACTGCTTATTATTTATCTTTAAATGCATTCATCTCAGTTTTCCTGAATATTTCAAACAGTATTTAATTCCATTCAGATCCTCTTACAGTTTACGTTACGCTGATCAGATTTTTTTTTTTGTCGTCCCAAGAGTCAAAAAACAAATAGGAAAACACTCATTTAAATATAAAGCTCCTTCTAATTGGAACAATCTTTACTCATCGATTTGTGCATTAACTTCTGTCCCTTCATTTAAAAATGCTTTGGTTCAATATTTACAGAACCCATGTCATTGTTTTTCATGATTTTGTAGAATTTTATTGCTCATCTTGTTGTATTTTGTGATTATCTTTGAACTCTGTTTTAATTTTTTTTTTCCTCTCAAATTTGTTTTATTATGTGTCAAACAGTCAAGTGTGTGTGAGAGTGTGTGTGTGGTTGTGTTGATTTTGTTGTTTTGATGCTTATTTGAATTTATGTATTCTACTGTATCTGTCTTTTGTCGTTGTATTTATAAGGACCCCCTCGAAAATGAGATGGTGACACATCTCAAGGGGCTTATCCTCCAAACAAATATATTCAAATTCAAAATTAGCTAAGAAATACCTAGAAAAACAGGTATTCTGACTGTGAGCAGGGTCGCCTCTCCACAGATCTGATCTGTAACTTAGCCTGGTCTGGTCTCCATGATGATAGAAAGGTTTAATGCCATATTGTGAAACATTCCAGACAAAGCAACAACATCTAAGTGGAGAAAAGCCTCCACCAGAAAAGTTACACAATATGCATCTTTAAAGTGACGTTTTTCACAATTCTGCTTAATTTCTGCTTAATTTGGTGGGATAATAACTGCTGTAAATATAAATTATACTTTTACACAAATCAGGAAGCAGTTTGTGAAGAAAAGTTGAAAACTATGTCACAGGAAGCAGAGTTCTATCATCTTTGCTGGCATCAAACTGGGAGAATTCTGTCCAAACGTTCGACACAATTTACACACGAAACTATTTTTTTTCTCATACTTTAAACATGATTTCAACAAAATAAAGGTGTTTTCTTATAATCCTACTTGTCTAATAGTCTCTGTGTACATTCAAGTTTGGGTCCAATGTTTACTTATTTTATCATGTAAAAATGTGAAAAACCTTGTAATTCAATATATAGTGACAGGACATGATATTATTTTGAGTTTTAATGAAACAAAATCACAATACTTTGGTTACTGTTACAGTACATCCCTATTTCATGATGGGAAAAAGTCAATACGAGCAAACTAAAGTGTACTCTTGTCCAGATTTCCACATACACTGACCTGCAGTGATTTCAGATTAACCTATAGACTCTGGAACATTAGTCACAATAGTTATCAGTGCTTAGATGGAAAAAAATCTAAACATTTCTCATAATTTCTGACTAGCATTCTTGGATGATGTGTGTGTGTGATGTGGATTCTCCAATTCATTTTTAAATTTGTCTTCAAGTTTTAGCCATAAATACAATAAAAACTTAGGACATTTCTTGTATAAACTAGGACAAATCAATGGTTTTGGATAAATCTGCTGGGACAGGGGACACAAGGGCTCAAAACTGGGACTGTCCCAGGTAAATTGGGACGTCTGGCGACACTCAAATAACCCAGTTCATTTTGAAATTTGTCTTCAAATTTTAGTCATAAATGCAATAAAAACTTGTTTACATTATAACTCGGGTGACCAGATTTTCAAAATAAAAAACTGAGACATCTCTGTTTTGGGTTGGTAATAATAAAACTCTGAAACAAGTGTAATTAAGGAAAATAGTCAGTATAGTCACATTTACTTTGTGTTTTGGTCATTTTTAAGCAGCTTTTTTGTATTCTACCTAAACAAATGACACTTTATGCCATTTTTCACTGTTGGCAGGGATCAGATTGGTCAAAAATAGAGACACTTTGGACATTTCTTGTATAAAATTGGGACAAATCAATAGTTTTGTATAAATCTGCTGGGACAGGGGACACAGGCTCAAAACTGGGACTGTTCCGGGTAAATTGGGATGTCTGGACACTCAAATAGCCCAATTTATTTGTATATTTGTCTTCAAGTTTTAGCCATAAATGCAATAAAAACTTGTTTACATTATAACTCGGGTGACCAGATTTTCAAAATAAAAAACTGGGACATCCCTGTTTTGGGTTGGTAAAAATAAAACTGTGAAATGAGTGTAATTAAGGAAACTAGTCAGTATAGTTAAATTTTCTTTTTGTTTTGGTCATTTTTAAGCAGCTTTTTTGGTATTTTACTTAAACATTTTATGCCACTTTGTACTGTTGGCAAGGATCAGATTGGTCAAAAATAGAGACACTTAGGATATTTCTTGTATAAAACTGGGACAAATCAATGAGTTTGTATAAATCTGCTGGGACAGGAGACACAGGCTCAAAACTGGGACTGTCCCAGGTAAAACACTCAAATAACCCAATTCATTTTTATATTTGTCTTCACGTGTAACTGTTCTACACTAGTCAGTATAGTCACATTTTCTTTGTGTTTTGGTAATTTTTAATCATCTTTTTTGTATTTCACCTAAACAAATTTTAGTTTATGCCACTTTTTACTGTTGGCAGGTAAAACTGGTAAAAACTTGGAACACTTGGGAAATTTCTTGTATAAACTGGGACAAATCAATGGTTTTGAATAAATCTGCTGGGACAGGGGACACAAGGGCTCAAAACTGGGACTGTCCCGGGTAAAACATTCAAACAACCCAATTCATTTTTATATTTGTCTTCAACTTGTATCCATAAATAAATAAAAACTTGATTCCATTATACCAGAGCATACTAATTGGCACTGAAGCTCTTACTAAAGATGGTATTAGCTTGAAATAAACATGCACATTACTACTATTCTTATCACAAATCAGACTTACAATGTGATGTCTTCCTGGTAAAATGTTGTGGCCAAGTCTTCAAGTTAGCTTCTTCCAGAGAACGCTGCCATTGCACTGCACGATCGGTCTATCTGTGGTGAAAATATTATGTAAGGATCGTGTGCAGGACGCGGTGAGAAGGGCACGGCTGTAAAAGAAGGAGTTTCCACATCAGCTGTTGTTTTCTGTCACAAAAGCTGCGGCGATGTCAAAACAAACAGATTAGCATGTTAGCATTAGCATCAAAGCGACGCGTGCCAAATCAGGAACGAACAAGGCAATAAAATGAAATACCAAATGGGAAGAGCTGTTTTTGGCTCGCTTTGCGCTGGCACAAGTTGAGTCAGTGTGTAAAAGAGTCGGACCCGAGGACAGCGCGTTACTTTGGGGCGGTGTGGACGCGAGAGGCGCAGCTCGGAGCGCGCACGACGGAACCGCAATCAACTTCTATAGGAAGCGTCTCAGGAGCGAATCAGGAGCGACTCTGGAGCGACTTGTATGGAACGTATGCACTAGTAATAAACAGTGTTGGGGAGTAACAGCAGTGTTGGGAAGGTTACTTTTAAAATGTATCCCCCTACAGATTACAGATTACATACCCCAAAATGTAGTTTGTAACGGAATCCATTAAATTACTTAAAGTGAGTAACGTAATCTGAATACTTTGGATTACTTGATTTGCTGTAGAGAAGCAAAGACTCGGATATCTTAACATAAGACAAAGGAAAATAAAAAGCCCAGACTTTCTATATGAGATCACTGCTGCCTTAAATTATGTCCACCCTACTGTTAGGTGTCATACTGTTTATTAAAAAAAAAACAAAAAAAAAAAAATTACTTTCAGTACAAACATAAAGGCACCAGCAAAAGTAACCACCACCAGTAAAAATCAGTAATATTTGATGTTTTTTTAGTCAAAATGATGCAGAATCAGGTTATTTACAGAGGGAATTTAACAGTCCTGGTCCAAGTTTTAGACATGTTTTAGTCCTGTTTTAGTCCTGTTTTAGACCTGTTTTAGTCCTGTTTTAGACCTGTTTTAGACCTGTTTTAGACCTGTTTTAGACCTGTTTAGTCCTGTTTTAGACCTGGTTTAGTCCTGGTTTAGACCTGGTTTAGACCTGTTTAAGTCCTGGTTTTAGACCTGGTTTAGACCTGTTTTAAGTCCTGTTTTAGTCCTGTTTTAGACCTGTTTTAGGTTTAGACCTGTTTTAGACCTGTTTTAGTCCTGTTTTAGACCTGTTTTAGTCCTGTTTTAGACCTGGTTTAGTCCTGTTTTAGACCTGGTTTAGTCCTGTTTTAGACCTGTTTTAGACCTGGTTTAGTCCTGGTTTAGACCTGGTTTTAGACCTGGTTTAGAGTCCTGGTTTAGACCTGGTTTAGACCTGTTTAGACCTGGTTTTAGTCCTGTTTAGACCTCCTGTTTTAGACCTGTTTTAGACCTGAGACCTGTTTTAGACCTGTTTTAGTCCCTGTTTTAGACCTGTTTTTTTAGTCCTGTTTTAGTCCTGTTTTAGACCTGTTTTAGTCCTGTTTTAGACCTGTTTTAGACCTGTTTAGACCTCCTGTTTTAGACCTGTTTAGTCCTGTTTTAGACCTGTTTTAGACCTGTTTTAGACCTGTTTTAGACCTGTTTTAGACCTGTTTTAGTCCTGTTTTAGACCTGTTTTAGACCTGTTTTAGTCCTGTTTTAGACCTGTTTTAGACCTGTTTTAGTCCTGTTTTAGACCTGTTTTAGACCTGTTTTAGTCCTGTTTTAGACCTGTTTTAGTCCTGGTTTTAGACCTGTTTTAGACCTGGTTTTAGTCCTGGTTTTAGACCTGTTTTAGTCCTGTTTTAGACCTGGTTTTAGACCTGTTTAGACCTGGTTTAGTCCTGGTTTAGACCTGGTTTAATGCTGGTTTAGTTTCCAGCAATGAATGGAATTACCGAAATAAAAAACTAAAATAAAAATGGAATACCGCCCAAAATGTGAAAACAGGAAAATAACACCATGTAATCCATTTATTTCAACAAAGTAACTGTAATCCGATTACCAATCATTGAAACAGTACTAACAGGACTAAACCATGCTGTGCGGACCGTGTCTCCTCCTCTTCCTTCTTCTATCAATAATATTTTTAATTTGGTTCGGTAAAGTCTGGGCTTTTTATTTTCTTTTAGCAGAAAAAAACATCTTATGCGAAGATGTTTGCTTTGCTTCTCTACAGCAAATCAAGTAATCCAAAGGATTCAGATTACGTTACTCACTTTAAGTAATTGAATGGATTATGTTACAAACTACATTTTGGGGTATGTAATCTGTAATCTTTAGGGGAATACATTTTAAAAGTCACCTTCCCAACACTGCTAATAAGATATTCACATTCCGCTGTATGTATTTAGTTACAGTTACTGTTTCAATGAGATGGAGATGTTGCTTTGTTGAAATAAATGGATTACAAGGCGGTATTTTCCTGTTTTCACATTGTGGGCTAAACCAGGACAAAAACCAGTAATAAACCAGCACTAAAACCAGGACTAAACCAGGATTAATCTAGGACTAAACCTGGACTAAACCAGGACTAAACCTGGTAAGAGTTTATGTCACAACTAAGTAATGTAAAAGTGAGGCGGCCTTACAAAAAATGTCATTAAAAACACCTCTAAAATAAAAGTAGCTTTAGTCCATGCATGGGGTAAAATTATAAAATAATGATGGTTATTTTGTAATTCCAAGTGAGCCAAAAGGCCGATTTGGACAATACTGGACAATGCCCAAATCTGATCCACATGAAGACTTTATGGAACAGTTATTGTCACCTTCATCTAAAATACATGCAATGGTATGAAGTCACTCAAGCACAAAATGAATAGTGTTTGACTAAGATAGATAGATAGACAGATAGATAGAGAGATAGAGAGAGAGAGAGAGATAGTGTTCTGATTATCATGTGAATCGAGCTGCTCCCCTCCTCCTTGTCCTCCTCCTCGTCCTCCTCCTCCTCCTCCTCCTCCTCGTCCTCCTCCTCGTCCTCCTCCTCGTCCTCCTCCTCCTCCTCCTCCTCCTCCTCCTCCTCGTCCTCCTCCTCCTCGTCCTCCTCCTCCTCCTCGTCCTCCTCCTCCTCGTCCTCCTCCTCCTCCTCGTCCTCCTCCTCGTCCTCCTCGTCCTCCTCCTCCTCGTCCTCCTCCTCCTCCTCCTCCTCGTCCTCCTCCTCCTGTCCTCCTCCTCGTCCTCCTCCTCTCGTCCTCCTCCTCGTCCTCCTCCTCCTCCTCGTCCTCGTCCTCCTCGTCCTCCTCCTCCTCGTCCTCCTCGTCGTCAGGTGGGTTTCAGACCCTCCTCAGTGTGTGATCAGATCCTCTTCACATCAGGATGATGAAGGTGTTGGACTTAAGATCCAATGAACATTTGTCCTTGAGGGTTTGAACCCTACTCCTGGGATGATTATGTTACAGATTTAAATTATAATCCAATAAGTGTTAAAGTTAAAGCAAAATGAACAATGGAAAAAATCCTGTGCTCTATTCCAAATGTCTTGGCACGATTAGAAGTTTAGCTCACACACACAAAAAAACAACAACACATAAATAAAACAGTTTTACTTAAAGAAAGCATCATTACCCTGTTTAAAAAAACAGTGATTTTTGTTTTGATCTGACACCAGTGATACTATAGCAAACGTCACAATATCGATCTGATACTGATACCAATGAGTTTTGTATTAAAATGCACTGAAACTAGTTTTTGAACTGGCCTGAAAATGACCACACATATAAAAATGATTCAAATGTGATAAAAACTATATTTCTGCAATATTTTGTGAAGCCTCGGTGAGTGTGGGTTTATTGATATTTTGGTATCGATTCATTCATCTCTAATTCAGAACTGAACTCACCAAAGCTGCCCATGAGCTCCATGATGTAAAACTGTGATGTAAGGTTTGATATATGTTTACATCCTGCTTAAAATAAATAAAAGTCGACAAACATGACTCATTTGTTTTCTCATTATTTATTAGACCATCACTGCAAAACACACTCCCAAGTTGAAATACTATAAGTGGTGAACCAGTCAGTAAAAAAAACAAAACAAAAATCAAAATTCTGAATGAAAACAGTCCACAAAACTCTGTCTTTTTCTACTTTGACGTTTACAGGTGATCAGCAGCCAGCTTCATGCAACCCTGAGAAACAAAGTCATCTCAAATCAAGCCCAACACATAAACATGACAGTGTAGCTGTAGCTGTAGTCTGGGTTCTGTTTCTGATACCTGGCCTGCAGGGTTCACTCTTCTCAGAAGAAATGATGATGGAGTCAAAAATACATTCAAAACGTGACTAGTGGCTCTATAATCCATGTGTCATTCATTCATTCGCCTTTCAATAGAAAACCAAACATAAGAAAATGAAAAAAAACTAACAAACAACTATTTTCTACATTATTTGTCTCCAAAACCAAAATGAAAAAACGGATAATGATTAATTTTTTCAGTTTTTGATTTTGTGTTTAAACGAATAATGGAAAAAACAGATAAAGGACGTTTCCCATTTCCGTGACTTAAACTGAGATGCCAGACTGAACCAGGACTAAACCAGGACTGAACCAGGACTAAACCAGGACTGAACCAGGACTAAACCAGGACTGAACCAGGACTGAACCAGGACTAAACCAGGATTGAACCAGGACTAAACCAGGACTGAACCAGGACTGAAACCAGGACTAAACCAGGACTGAACCAGGACTAAACCAGGATTGAACCAGGGCTGAACCAGGACTGAACCAGGATTGAACCAGGGCTGAGTGTCGGGAGGGGCCCAGAGGTGCGCCCGCGTAGACTGTCAGGTGATCAGGACTGAGACCGGGACCAGACCAGGGCTGAGACAGGACCAGACCGGGACCAGACCAGGACCAGACCGGGACTGAGACTGGCACAAAACCAGGACTGAGACCGGTTCTGGTTTAGATCTGGTTCAGTCTGTATGTGGCGTAAAAGTCCGGCATCTCAGTTTAAGTTATAGAAACAGAAAATGTACGATATCCTTTTTTTTTCCATTTTTCATTTAAATCCAAAATCAAAAACTAAAAAAACAAATCATTATCCATTTGTTCATTTTGGGTTTGGAGACAAATAATGAAGAAAATAGTTGTTTTATCTTTTTCTTATTTTTGGTTTTATATTGAAAAACAAATGAATGAATGACACACAGATTCTGTATAGTTGATATTTAAAGCTGCACTGTGTAACTTTTCTGGTGGAAGATCTGCTACTTGCTACATGACTTGTCGTCATGGAAATGCTATTGCTTTGTCTAGAATGCTCCACAGTATGGCATTAAACTCGATCTATTTCCATGAAGACAAGCCCGTAATGCCTCCAGGCCAAGTTACAGGTCAGATCTGTGGAAAGGCGTGCTCACTCACTGCAAGAATGCATGTTTTTCGTAGTCTTTTTAAACCCTCAAACACCTGTAACTGTAAAAATGCAACACGAGTTTAATGCCACACTGTGAAACCAAGAATATTGTCATGGAAACAAGTCTGTGACACACCCCCTAGGTTACAGGTCAGATCTGTGGAGAGGCGACCCCGTTCACAGTCAGAAGACATTGTGTGTTTCATGGTATTTCTGAGCTTATATAAAGACCTGGGATTTCATTAAGGCAAAACAGATAATGCCATACTGTGGAACATTCCCGGCAACGCAGCACCATCTCCATGGAGTTTTAGGCAAATGATCCCTTCTCCATTTGAATTATTTGTGAGAACCTTTCACCATTTAAAAGATATTTTGATTGGAAATGCATTCTAGCTACAAAAACAAAAGGACCGTGACCATGCCAAATCCTACAAATCAGAAAGGAACCTTGAAAACCCAACCAGAAAAGTTACACAGTGCACCTTTAAAGTTCCTATATTATGCTTAATTTAACAAAAATATCTTCCCATTGGTATTTCACATTTTTATCATATCTAACTTTAAAACAAAACGTAAAAAGAATTCAACAAAGTCTAGCGTAAATGGCTTGAACAGGTCCTGCGCCCTCTGCTGGCAACGATGAAAAGTGTGTAACAGTTGAAATGAGGCTTAAAACAGTAGCTGCTGGTGTAGAAGTTGGTGATTAGCCAAAAACCATTCAACTCGATAAAGGTGAGTTTGACTACACCAGTATAACTCACGTGTGAATGAAAAGAAACATAACTCCAGGTACGTTCATCATCAAGAAACAACAACATTATTACTGCTGAAAAGTCCAAAAAGTACTGCGAAAAACAGGACCTTTAAATGAAAAAAGTACCCTGCAAACTACAGAGCTGGTATTGGGTGAGAAAGCTGGTAAAACATAAACCACAAACCACTTCCTTTTGTCCCATTTGAGCTTCAGTTCTGCTACAAAGCACAGATCAGGCTAAACATTATGACCACTCGCCTCACACACTCATGTACTTGCACTACTTTCAATTAGAACCGCTTTGGATAGATACTGACCGCTGTAGACTGGGGAAAACCTCACAAGAGCTGAACTAAACCAGGTCTGAACCAGGTCTAACCAAGGTCTAAAAGCAGCTCGAATAGACACTGACGACCGCAAACTAAGAATACGACAATAGACTAAACCGAAATCAAATTGTCTGATCCGGTAAAAAATAAGGTCTAACCAAGATCTAAACCAGGTCTAACCATGGTCTAACTGGTCCAAAGCACGTCTGACAGATACGGACCACTACAATGTGTTAGAAGAGCTAAGCCAGGACTAAAGCAGGACTCTTCTCTCTCATTTAATGTCTCTCTCTTTTTTAATTTTATGATGATTATTTATGTTTTGATTTGTTTGTGTTGTGATTTTAATGTGTTTCTTATTTTGTAAAGCACTTTGATTGACAAACTGTACTTTACAAACTGCACTGACTTGCCTTAAAGCAGGACTAAAACAGGACTAACCAAGGTCTAAACTAGGTCCAAGCATGGTTTATTTTAGGACTAACCCAGTACAAAACCCAGTTTAAACCACCTCTGATACTGAGCACTGCTGACAGGGAGAACGCCAATAGAGCTGAACTAAACCAGGTCTGAACCAGGTCTGAACCAGGTCTGAACCAGGTCTGAACCAGGTCTGAACCAGGTCTGAACCAGGACTGAACCAGGACTAAACCAGGACTAAACCAGGACTAAACCAAGTCTAAACCAGGTCTAAATCAAGTCTAAATCAGGTCCAAACCAGGACTAAACCAGGTCTAAACCAGGTCTAAATCAAGTCTAAATCAGGTCCAAACCAGGACTAAACCAGGTCTAAACCAGGACTAAACCAAATCTAAACCAGGTCTAAACCAGGACTAAAACAGAACTAAACCAGGTCTAAACCAAGTCTAAAGAGCCTCTGATATACACTGATCTCTGCTGACTGAGAACACCCACAAGAGCTGGAGTGAACCAGGTCTAGACCAGGTCTAAACCCTACTGACCACTGCAGGTACTTAATACTGGAACAGAATGGCACTAAAACAGGTCTAAATCAGGTGTAACCTAGTCCAAAACCAGGTCTAAACGGGTCTACCCCAGGACTAAAACAGGTCTAACCCCGGACTAAACCAGGATTTAAGATACTGACCGCTGCAGACTAAGAAAACCTAAAGAGCTGCACAAAAATAAGTCCAAACTAGAACTAAACCAGGACTACACCACCTCTGATTGACAGAAACCCTCCAGTCTCTAAAATATATCAAACTTTCTCGAATCCTGTCTAATTTTTTCCTCTTCTGGAACACTGAGAATTCACTTGCTTCTGAAATCTCGCATCCGTTTTATAAAAGTGCCACTATAAAAATATAACCAGCGCTTCTCCACGTCCCCCGACAGGAATCATAATGTTTAGCTTGACTTTGTGCATTTAACACATCATTTCTGACCACAACTCCACAACATTAGAGGCATGCTTTAGTGACTTTTATAATACCACAGTGAAACAGTAAGTTGCTTTTACGCACAGCTCAAAAGAATATATTTGGTCTTGAATTTAAATTTAAAGCAAGTGTGGTCAAACCTTTTAAAAATCCATGCAACATTTGCGATTTTAGCTACAAACGATCGATCGAACTTGAGATGTTTCGGACAAAGCACTCTTTTAAAAAAAAAACTCAAGTCTCGTAAGTTAAGGCTCTTCTCTTCGTCCCTCTGGTGTAGCACAGTATTTTGGATATAAAAATAAAAAAAAGAGAAACATTTTGAACATTTTTTACAGTTTGTATCATAAAAGGAGGTCATTGCTTTGGAACCAACACTGCGAAAAACAACACGAGGTACAAATACTTAAAGACGCACTGTGTAACTTCTAAGGTGGAGGGTCTGCTACTTTCCTGTCTCCATGGAGATGTTATTTCTTTGCACGAGATGTTCCACAGTATGGCATTAAACATATGTGCCTTGCATTTATTCAATTGCAGGTGTTTTAGAGTTCAAAACTACCTTGAAAATAACATGAATTCTTACTAAGTGCAGGCTTGCTTTTCCATAGATCTGACCGTTATCTCTCTGCTGTGAAGTTTATTTTCATACTGTGGAATTATTTAGGCAAAGCAGACAAGCACTTGATGAACCCTCCACCAGAAAAGTTACACAATGCACCTTTAAATGACTAAAAACTGATCATTTTGATTTGCTATGACAAGTTCAGTGGATTTACTTATTGCAAAACTATAAATTATATTAGAAGTTTTACAAGTAGGGAGGCACCTTTCTAGCTTTTCAGTTTTAATACTAATATCGATACCTCGACATCTGCTGATACTCGATATTAACCGATATTTACCGCATTTATTTCCATCAAAACACAGTGAACTTACTACACATTTAATCCAACTGTGTTATTTAATCTGCAAGTAACACTTCTACTTTGAAAGAATAAAAGTCCAAACATTATTAACCCTCTACGTCAACATAAGCCTGTAAATACCGCATTTTTCGGACTATAAGTTGCACTTTTTTTCATGGTTTGGGTGTTTCCTGCGACTTATACTCCGGTGCGACTGATATAATAACATTTTCAGACTGACAGGCGCGAGAGGATCTAGGCGTGAGTATCAGTTTTCTGCAGAAAAAGCCTCTGTCCTGCTGGAAGTAGTGAAATATGCAGCAGAAAACGGTAATCGAGCAGCAGAAAGAAAGTTTGGAGTGAGCGAGAAACTTGTGAGGGACTGACAGAAAGCAGGGATGGAGAACACAGCTTCAAGGTAACCGGGCGAGTGCAGCATGTCTGGACCTCAGTGACAATTGAAGTTGCGCGGAGTTGCTCAAAAGTGACACCAAGGATAAAGAATTCAATGGATTCAATGGATTTGGAGAGAGATGGAGAGTTTCTGTTGTTTACGCTAAAATTATCTGAAGACTTGTTCATATGTGACGTTAACAGTCTGTTCTCTCTTCTATTGTTATTACTAGAACTTGACTTTAAGAAAAAATGTCGGTTCCTGGTCTCTGATTTTATGAAATAAATTTGACCCAAAAAGTGCGACTTATACATGCGTTTTAATTCTTCATAAAGCATTTTTTGGCTGGTGAAACTTATACTCCAGAGCGACTTATAGTCCAAATAATACGGTAGTCTTATTACATCCAATAGACCCAACCAACCAGGCTGAATTGATATCATGGAACCCATACTCAATCCAGCAAAAACCAGTATCGATATCGGTGTGTCCCAACTTACAACATATGATTCATCTGATTTCAAGCTGAAATATCTGTCAATGTTGAAATGTAAAAATGATTAAAACTCCTTTGCCCCATAAGAAGAAATTCTATCTTGAAATAAATTGCTAAAACCTGAAACAAGGCACTAAAATAAGCCCAAAGAAAGACTGGATTTCAAACTTTAAGTAAAAGTACCTCATGTATGTTTTGCGCAGTGAAGCTTGTGGAGTTATTACATTGGGAGTGACATAATGGAGTTGTTTTTGAGGTTAGATAAATGAATGTCTGTAAACACTGGAGCAAAAATACTTACACTACAAAAATGAATGTCTGTAGGAGTTAACATGACTTGAATTCATAATATTATAATCTCTAAGTCGTTTATTTTTCACCACTTTAGATTTCACCTTTTCATTTCAAATTGAGTCAAATTTCTGCTGAATAAATATTTCTGGAAAAGGTCCACTATTCAACGTTTCCGCTGGAAGGTCTGTCATCTGCTTGTCTTCACAGAGGTGTTTTTGCTTCACCTGGAATGTTCCAAAGTATGGCATTAAACGCAACCATCTCCACTAGGTTCTGGGTCAGATCTGTGGAAAGGCGACCCAGCTGACAGGAAGAATGCATGTTTTTTCAAGATATTTTAATAACAACACCGCCAAATGAGCGAATGCAGGATAAACAACTTTAATGCCGTACTGTGGAACATTTCAAGCAAAGCAAAGGCATCTCCATGGACACAAGCAGGTGACGCACCCTCCACCAGAAAAGTTACATAGAGGAATTGTTTTATGCATTTTTTATTCAAACCCCCACAAAAAAGTATCCAAAATCGAATCGAGAGTTGAAACTAGACAAAACTGCTCTGATATAAACGTGATATTGTGAATTCAAGTGGTTTTAACTCGTCTGGGACATTATTTTTGCAGTGCTTAGAGTCCTGGTGATGAGACGGAGCTTATGCCACAGGTTTGAGCACAGATCTCAGACAGCGCCCCTCCTTGGTCAGTTCTCGGGTGAAGCACATGCAGGGCAGAGGGATGGCCTCCTCTCTCCGCGCGATCGTGTTGAATTTACACTTCTTCAGGTGGTCGGCCATGCTAGCGATGTTGGCAAACTTCCACTCGTTCACTGTCCCGAAGGCCGTGCTGAATCGCCACACCTGAAGAGAGAGAGGAGAAAAAAAACTCACAAAAAACACACAGATTTTGACGTCTGAAAGCAAAAAGACCAGTATAGGGTAAAAAGCCGGCATTTCCTAGAGCAGGGGTCACCAAACTTTTTTCTCTGAGGTCCATATTATGGCTCCTGATGGTGATGGGGGCCGAGGTTTGGTCGGCCGTATATCAGAATTGACCCTGATGACGCAGATTATTTTCTTCACATATCAGACAAACTGCACGCTCCTTAACTGAACAAAAAAATTATCGGTCATCCACTGTTCTATGAAAACACTGCACTGTCAACTTTTTATACTTTAACACTGCTGTCTTTAACTGCACTACAGTAGTCCGCGCTACAGTAGTCCGCGCTACAGTACGCCGCGCTACAGTAGTCCGCGCTACAGTACGCCGCGCTACAGTAGTCGTAGTCCGCGCTACAGTACGCCGCGCTACAGTACGCCGCGCTACAGTAGTCCGCGCTACAGTAGTCCGCGCTACAGTACTCCGCACATGTGTTGACTGTCACTGTTTGATCTCAAGTTTGTCAGGTGATGAAAATTCTGTGGCAAATTTGGCAGCAGGTGTAAATACATCATATAATTACTTTAATTTAAATATAAATATAAATACTTCATATAAATATCATTTTTAATAGAAAAAAATCAATAAAATACAGGATGCAAACATGTTATTATTCGGCAAAAAGTAATTTAAAAAAATAGGCCATGACAACTTTTGAGGATTGCCTCATAGGACCAGTTCTATCGGGGGGGGGGCAGAGGGGCTGGGGGCCGGTTAAAGGGGCGTGGAGGGTCGGCGTCTTAGTTTGATGACCCCTGTCCTAGAGCTCTGAGGAAAGAAAAAGTTGTATTAATTAAACAAAGGCAGCGCATGTGGAGGTTGGTGCGCCTCTGCATTGTACTCAAGTATTTACTTTATGATCAATGTCACGTTTTTATATAGAGCTTTTCCACTCACCCATTCACACACAAAACACTTGAATGTTCTGAAGTATGGCTTTAACTTTCTATTTCCATGGACTTTAATACCACATGGCAGATAAAGTTAAAATCATGCCAACGTGTTTCGGCCCTTCTGCCTTCATCAGGGCAAAAAAAGGTTTTTGATGTAGATGTAGATGTAGACTTTGTTTAGTTCTAATTTGGTCCTGGTTTAGTCCTGGTCTACTCAGTTTAATTCAGGGTTTAGTTCCAGTGTAACTTTTTGGTTGAGGGTCGGTCACCTGCTTGGTTCTATGGAGATGTCACTGCTCTGCCTGGAATGTTCCACAGTGTGACATTAAACAGTTCTACTTTACATTATTCAATTAGAGGTGGTTTTACAGCTTAAAAATATCTCGAAAAATAGACATTCTGACTTTGAGTGGGGTCGCCTCTCCACAGATCTGACACGTAACTTGGCCTGGTTTTGTCTCCATAAAGATAGAAAGGTTTAATGTGAAACTAAGGCTGTGCAATTAATCAAATTTTGATTGTGATTTAGATTTGAGTGTCAAACAATCTTCAAACTCATAATTGAGTTGAAACAATTTAAAGCTTAACAAAGTTTATTCTGGGATATTTTTAAAATAAAGAAGTATATTTATTTAATTTTTTAAATACAGATTGCAGAACAGCTGGATATAGAGTTTATTTTGGATACGTTTATGTTTTTCTGCCTTATTTCATGTTGAAAGTTTATTTTATTCATTTTGTTTAATACATCGCAAAACTGCTCTAAGGTACAGATTTGCAGCCTTTATTTATTTTCAATTTGAAAGTTTTGCATAAATAATCAATGACAAAGTTGTTGTTTTTTTTAGAGAGAGTGGGAGAAATGCTGAATAAATGCATCGTGTAGCTAAAAAATAATCGTGATTTCAATATTGACTAAAATAATGGTGATAATGATTTTTTTCCATAATAGAGCAGCCCTATGTGGTACATTCAAGATAAAGCAAAACATCTCCATGGACTAAAGCATTTGACAGACCCTCCACAAGAAAGGTTACTCAATGCACCTTTAAGTGAAATCTAAATTCAGACTAACCTTATCTGTGATCTGCCACGAGGGAGACCCGTCCTCTCTGCGTCTCTTCTCCCACAGCAGCACCACCATGCCCCTCATCTGCAGCAGACTGGCACACACCTCCCTCATGGTCCTGGACACTCTGGAGAGCTGGCACAAGCTGAAACTGTCCAGGAAACTGGCAACGTGCTGCAAAACCTCGAAGGGAAGACCGCTGAACTGATCCGAACTAAACTTGTGTCCATGTCGTCTCCCATTTTCCCCGTTTCTCAGAGGAACTCCTGGTTGAACTCCGAATGACCCAAGATGTCTGTCGTGAATAATCCGAAACCCTTGAACTTGGGGACAGAAGCGTCTTTGGGAGTAGGTGCACCCGTAGTACGCCAGGGGGCAGCGTTGTTCCATCCACCCGTTCAAACCAGCGTGGATATCTCCGTGAACGTTCTTAAAATGCGAGGAAAACTCATCCCTTCGGAAAAGCTGCCCGCAAACGAACGTGAACATGGAACGCTGCTTCGTTTGATACCTGGCGACACATTCGAGGACCAGATCTAAGCGTAAAGTGTGAAAGGGGCTCGGGTTGCACAGTTGCGGGCTGGCGTGGTCACAGGCAGAGGCGGACGCGATGTCTCCAACCATGGTGTTAGTAGCGAGGATAGCAGACGGAAAAGAAAACGTTTGCGTACCGAAATCGATGTGATAACCGTCGACAAAGCGACTATCTGAAATCCCTCGACCTCCAGGAGAATCGCCCAGGCAGAAAAGCAAAGCAGCTGTGATCAAATCGATACCGTGTAGTCCCATGGGATCATCTGCAACTTCTAAATCAGAAGTATCAACAGATTTATCCTCCATTTTGGCTCTGAAAAGATACGGATCGGACAGTAGCGCTCTCCTACCGTTAAATGTAAACATACTGATACCTCTCAACACTTCTACGTTTTGCAGTTTTCGTTCCAAACATCGATACCTGAGTTCTGACGGTAAATGCTGCAAAAAGTTGTTTCTGACCAGGTTATCTGAGAAGAGAAATGGCATTGGAACTGGGAGTGGAGCATGCCGGGGTACAACGGGAGGTTCGATAGCTACAATCGGTAAATAATCGTCCACCAAAACTTCGCCGTTGTCTTGAGGCGGTTCTTCGTTCACATTTTCATTTTCGTCAAATAGAATGTCAACAAACTCGCTTTCGTCTGCCCAGTCTATAGGGTTATCATCTGTTCCCACTGCGCAGTCCACTCCACCGACCGCTCCAAGCTCGCAATCCGAATCCAAAGAATCAGAATCTTGCATATCTACGTTTCTACCTCCCTCTGCTCCGTAAACGTCGCCACTTTCCCTTTCGTTTTTATCGCTGTCCGCCCCGTTAATATTGTTGACGATTTCAATCTCCTTAGAATTGGTTAAAATGTCAAAAGCTGCTGCTAGACTCCTGCTCGTTTCTACCGATGTTTTGTAAAGTTCGTTGTATGGTTCGTCTTGCTCCATTTCAACCGCCGTCTCATTCGAAGATGTCGCCATTTTGTCGCTCTCTTCGTCTTTCTTTTCGCCGTTTTTGGAAATCGTTGTCGTGACTTTTAACGATTCCAGCAGCATCCTCTGATCCTGCAAAGCCAGCGCCATGTCCAGCTGCTCAACTTCGTCAAAATCCTTGCTCAGGTTCTCGTAGGATTTTCGATCCGCGTAGCTGACCGGCCACCTGTTCCACTCCATAGTGCAGCAGACGATGCTGGCGGGGCAGATTTCAAGATGCTGCGCCATCTTGATTCTCGCGATCGTAAAGGGGCACCCGAATCCGCTATTTAAACACGGCAACCTTTCGTACGGACAAAGCAGGCGGTGCTCTTCCAGTTTGCAGGAGTGGAAAACGGCTCCGCAAACTAAAGGACAGCCCATGAGGTCGCAGGAAACTCCGATCTCCGTTCGCACCATGCATCTCCTATTGATGCACTTAAGGCAGTGGGGGTGGAGTGGGCTGTCCTCCATTTTAGGTGCTTCTTTGTCGTGTCCCAGGTTTGTTTGTGTACAGATGCCAACAGGAAGAGCAGGCTTGTGTTTAAACCCTGAAAGAGAAACAAAAGAGGAGGAGAAAAACTTGTTAGTCAAATGAGGCTCAGGAACAGATCTCAAAGAAACACATGCATTTGAATAGAGGCGCATGTCAAAGGAGCGAGTCCATGTCCTTATTTGGCAACACAGTGTCCTCTAGAACTAGCACGAATTTAAAATTTTGTAGTGACTGGTAAATGTTGATAAATGTTTATAGATTTTCAGACATTCTGGGCCTAATTCATTTTGGGAGATGAGATTTCAGGAAGCAAAGACCATTTTGAAATACACATTTGAATTTTCTCAACATTTTTGGTAGGGATGGACATGATTAGTCAATTAATTGATAATTGATCATTAAGAATTTCATCGATTATGTTAATTTTAATCGACAAACCGAATGTAGGTTGCTGTGTGTAGTGTGACCAAACAGGTCTGTACATGTGTCTCTGCATCAGAAGGAGCGAGACACAAACAGTTGGTCAGTTTGCAACATGTCGAAGCACAAATGTGGATTTAACGATGTCTTGTACAAGAAATTCCACACTTTCCGTTGCGTTCGGGACAAGTGTGAGTCCATGTGCACAGTGTACAAAGCAGCACATATGTTTCGGTGTCCAGGTGAGAGTCGCTCAATGTCGATGACGAGTCCCCACCTCCCTCCCCCCAGAATGTCTGTTTTTCGAGATGTTTTTGAGCTCTAAAACCACTTGTTTTTAAATAAATGTAAAGTAGAGCTGTTTAATGTCACACTGTGGAATATTCCAGACAGAGCAAACCAGCAGGTGATGGACCCTCCACCAGTGAAGTTGCACAGGTCAGGTCAGATACACAAAAAACTGTACATAAGTGTAATATAACAGCGTCTCTACTTCTGATCAGTGCTTCTCTTCACTTCTTTGCTGTATCAGGGTAAAACTCTGACATGTTTTTATTCTGTGGACATTTTATATTCTCTCTTGCACCGGTGGAGCGTTCTAGAGAATCCAGTGTCCAGTCCTAACACAGACTGACCCTGCACGCGCTGCCCACTTAGCAGCTGGTTTGTTGTTGTTATTCTCAGCATGTTGAAATCTCGAAGAAGCGTCTGAGCTGTCAATCAAACTCCCCAAACCGTCGTGTTTTCAGGCTCAGGTTTGACTCCGGTCCAGTGTCTAAGGCTCAGTGTAACTCGACACGAGGGGTTGTGAAATGAGCTCCGGTTTTGATCCACAGACGAGACGCAGAGAGAGAGAGAGACTGACGAGAGAGACTGACGAGAGAGGGGGGTAGAAGGAGGGGAGAAAAGAGAAGAGAGGGGTGAGAGAAAGATGAACTGACAAGAGAGAGAGGAGAGAGGGAGAAAATGGAGAGAGAAACTGAGACGAGGGAGAAAGAGAGAGGGAGAGAGGTGTGAGAGGAACTGAGAAGAGAGAGAGAAGGAGAAAGAGAGAGGAGAGAGAAGGACTGAGAAGAGAGAGAGAGAGAAGGGTGAGAGGGAATGAGAAGAGAGAGACAGAGGGACTGAGAGAGAGAAAGAGAGGGAGAGAGGAGTGAGAAAGAGAGTGAAAGACAGGTGGGGATACTGAGAAGAGAGAGAGGGACAAAGAAAGAGGGAGAGAGAGAGGGGGGTGAGAGGGACTGAGAAGAGGGAGACGGGGTGAGAGGGAATGAGAAAAGAGAGAGGGATGAGAGAGAGAAAGAGAGGGAGAGAGGAGTGAGAGGGAATGAGAAGAGAAAAAGTGGAAGAGAGAGGGAGAAAGAAAGCGAAAGAGAGGTGGGGATACTGAGAAGAGAGAGAGAGACAAAGAAAGAGGGAGAAAGAGAGGGGTGAGAGGAACTGAGAAGAGAGAGAGAGGGAGAAAGAGACAGGAGTGAGAAGGACTGAGAAGAGGGAGGCGGGGTGAGAGGGAATGAGAATGAGAGAGAGAGAGAGAGAGGGACTGAGAAGAGAGAGAGAGGGGTGAGAGAGAGAAAGAGGAGTGAGAGGGACTGATGAGAGAGAGAGAGAGGGAGAGAGGGGTGAGAGAGAAAGGAAGGAGTGAGGGAATGAGAAGAGAGACAGGAAGAGAGAGAGGGAGAAAGAGAGGGAAAGAGGGGTGGGGGTACTGAGAAGAGAGAGAGTGAGAAAGAGAGAGGGAAAGAGAGAGAGACGGAGAGAGGGGTGAGAGCGACTGAGGGAGAGAGGGAGAGGGGGAAGAGAGAGAAAGGGGGAAGGAAAGAGAGAGGGACTATAAAGAGAGAAAGGGGGGAGAGAAGGCCGGGAAAGGGAGAGAGGCTAAAAAGAGGAAGAGAGCGAGAGGTCTAGAAAGAGTCAGAGAGCGGGGGAGCACGTGGGACTGAGGAGAGAGAGAGAGAGACAGAGAAAGAGAGAGGGGGACAGAGGAGAGGGAGGCAGGGAGCGGGGAAAGAGAGAGAGAGTTACCAGGAAGAACTAAACCCCGGCTCACGTGTGCCGTGTCAACAAACGTAAACATGGAAATCATTTTTAGATCCCAGAGAGAGAAAGAGAAATATTTTCCTAAGTAAACAATCACACGCAACCGCCAAATACACTAGAGTTTTTTATATTAGTACTGGAACATTTATTTTAAAAACTAAAATACACAAACACGAAAACTAATCCAAGATACTTTTTACATTTAAACTCTCGAGACAGATCTGAACTTTCCTCGACAGTTTTAGAATAGATCTTTATGTATAACAACAACAACAATAATAATGCATAGAATATATATATACAGAACCTTTTAAGATTTTATTTTTCAGTCTCTCCAGTAAACTTCTGTTAAAGCCAGATCAGCCCTGGGGCAGCTTGACAGAACAGAGGCTGCCAATCTGTGCATTTAGTCAAATATATGCCCACATGGTTATTTTAAAACAACTATCCTGAGTTAAAAACAACGTTCTATAGGTGGGTTTCACGTGACGTCACAGGGCTACATTTGTCAGCACGCAAAATCAGATGGAGGGCAGGAAGTGAACTGACTGGAGGAAAATCCCCGATGTGTTGTGTAGTTTACGGCTGTGCCAATCGTTCTAACCGAGAGAAGGAAAAGCGATTTTTTTAGAGTACCGAATATAGTCGTCCACAAAGGTCAGAAATGGGAAAAGCTGACAGAACAACACCATAAAAAGTGGATTACAAATCTGTTTGCAGTCGGGAGGAGCAGAATTCGCTAATGCTCGTGTCTGCAGTGACCACTTCGACAAAGGTTTGTTACAAAGCTAAATAGTTTTTTCTGGTTTACCTAAACATAAACGAATCATTAACGACTAACGACGTTTGTTGACATTAAATAGTTCAGATAGAGGTCACTGCCGATACACTGCAGTTTTTCCCATAACGTCTATACACATAAAATAAGAGAAACACTCACCCCGGCGAAGACCAAACGATAATCATCATTTAGGCGTTTTGCACCGAGGTTGAGGACCCATCCACTGACAAAAAAAGTTCTATGCCTCCAAACTTTTGTACACCTTCATCTGTTGTCTGGTGTAGAACGATGTCTGAAGAGCTAAATAGTTTGTGATCTCCTCTGCCTCGATTGTCGGCAAATCTTTTACTTCGGTTGAAAATTCTCTCATTTTCAATAAGATCAGGGTCACGCCCAATATATTTGTCGACTAACTGCTCGTACTTTTGTCTTGCTACTGGCTCTAAATCCTGACAATAAGAACTCTTCTCCATATCTGTGTTCTCCAGAGCCGTGTTTGTTTGTCGTGTTTGTCTTCACTTCCTGCCCTCAACCTGAAATTCGCGCATCATCGTGATCACGTGACTGAAACCCTCCTATTATCTGAGATGCTGTTTTTATAATCAGTGTGGTTTTGAAACAAATAATGAGCCTTTTTTTGTGTTGAAATGCACTAAAATTTCAAACAGTAAACTATAAATATACATTGCAGCGACATCTTCATGAGGATAACACATGAATCACGGGCTTCAGGTGTAGTTTGCGGTACAATTTGTGTGTTAAAGGTTTTAGCCATAATTGAAGCTGACTAATGCATTTTACATGACTCTATATTTAAGGGACCCGCAACAACGCAGCAATTTGGCAACGGGATTAGTTTATGGGTAAGTATTTCAATTCAAGCCGTGTTTCAAAAGACATCTTAAGTCTAAAGTTCTTATTAGTGAAATCAGACGTGACTCACCATCGGTAAAAGGATGCAACAGTGAGTTATTGTGCAAAGAACTTAGGATTTTACAGTTGTTAAGTATAATTGAAAACATGTTTTCTTTTATATTTAAGAATTCATGGTGTCTTTAGAAAACGTTCTAATTTGCGATTGAATTACACTACAGTTGATCTCGTACCAACTATTTAGTAAGGATGAGATGAGATGCAATTTCTATGAGACGAAACGTGTCGAGATTTGAGACGAGACCAGTTTTTGATGTCATTTTTGATAAATAAACGGTGGCATTCACGTCACATTTTTGCTTTATTTAAGTTGAAAGTTTTGCCGTCACTGGAGCGCTGCGTTTGGGTATCACAGTTTCTCAAGAGGAGTTACTCAGCAAAGTTAACCCATTTTCTCATCCAAGGCAAATATCAAAAATCTCATGAGATCGTTTGTCTTGTGGCAGTTTTGTTTCATGACATCTTATGGCACGAGATCTTGTCCCGTCCTACTTCTGAGCATCAATATTTACACCAGATGTTAACTTGACGCTCCATTATGAAAATCTAAGAGTTAATTCAATATCTGGTATGAATGATACTGATTTTAGATTAGTTTAATGTATTCATGTGTTAAATAAAGCAAAACATTAAAGGATTTGATGGATAATTACCAAGAAAAAACAAAGAAAACAGCTTAACACGTGGAAACCTTTGTATATATTGTGTATTATTCAAATACAAACAGTGCCTTGAACACTGGATTTTCATACCTAGGTTTATTATGTTTAACTAAAGATTACATTTAAATATGACTTTATATTTGTACAATTCTTTTTTTTCCACCCTCTGTAGCAATTTCTTATAAAAATCTGTCTATTTCTTTGTTTTGTAGCTAACTCCACATTTTATTTGCCCTGTATGTTGAAATTTCAAATCAGATTCTCACAGATTTTCTTCGTGTCAAGGTGTATAATAATATTAAAGCACTTTATAAGGAAATCTAACTTCAATTGTGGAATAAACTGGAAAAGAAATGGGAGTGTTTTAGTTTTTAGATCATTCAAGTATCATGTGTATGGTTTTGGATGCTGAGTTTGTATTAAAACAGTGGTTACTGACGCGATTGTACGAGTTTAAACCGAGTCAGAACCAAAATAAGAGAGTTTTTGTGCAGGTTTCTTGAAGCATGGCCACGATCAGCTGCTTCATTCCTCCAGATCCTGAAAGTGCACAGCGCTAAAAACACAAACAATGCGGCTGGACGCGCTTTATTACCCGCTTTTTATCACTTTTGCATGATTAACATTTGGAGATCACGCACTTTCTGCTATTTATCGGGGTTTAAGGAGAGATCACAGGCGGTTACGGCTGAAATTGTCCAGTGATTAACTTTTAGAGTAAACAAAAGAAAAACATGGCAAAGCGGGGTTAGCATTAGCATTCGGAAAGAGCTTACCCGAAAAAGGGGCACACTTCGGGGCGTGTAACTCCGATCTCCTCGGCCTAACCAGCTCCGATGATCCAGACACAAAGCGAACTAAGACTAAATAAGTGAATCGCAGCGGTAAATGTGAGGAAATGGGCACATTCAGCGCGCTGGCTCCGGTTTTGTGCCGTGTGAGATCGAGCGGTGTCGGCGTCTGTGTTGTTGATCCGCGGGGGTTGCCAGATCTCACGAGGAAAACACGCAATCAGCCAGACCTTTGAAAGAAGTTAGATTTCTTCATCTTATTTTGCCGCATGTCGTTCAAATTAGGACACTGAACTCGTGCGAAAGGGTCATGTGGCAATGTTGAAATCATTAAAGGGGCAAAAATCTATTCATAAATCTACAGTTTAACCCCAGTGTTCTTAAATAATCGGCTGTATATTTTCATTGTTAAATACTGAAAAGGACTGTTGGTAAAATGTAATTCAAAACTGATCACAATTATTTATATACCAGGAAAAAATCAAAAAGTATAAATCAAAGTTTGGAAAATAGACCAAGTGATATCAGAATGTTGTTGCCTCCTCAAAAACAAATGATTGAGTAATTCTTTATTATTAGTCTTTCTACAACTTCAAAGCTCAAAATGCTCCGTTCCAAATTGTGATGTCATGAAGTGGTAGTTTTCAAGTTAACAGCTCCTTTTACCTTTTGTTCAGAAGAGGGTTCTAGTGAAGGTGTATGGCGTTTTTTCAAAACACAGTGGGACATTTCCTGTATTTCTGTATTGCCGCATGACATCACAAGGTGGAACGGTGTTTTCTGTTTGAGAGATGAACGGCCTAAACACAAACCAGAGCATGTTTCTGATGAGGAAACAACATTATAACATAGATCAGTAAATAATGTAATATGACCCCTTTAAATTCGACCTGCTGCTAAATATACCAAATAATAATAATAATAATAATAATAATAATAATAATAATAATAATAATAATTGCTGTAGTCAAGGGGTTTCACAATGATGAGAAATTAGAACAGTTGCCATAGTGATTAACAATTTAAAACTATTATGTGTAATTTACATGGGGGAAAAGTCCTCAAACTGTTGTCAGTAACTGGAACTGAGAAATAATCTTAAACTATTTCTTTTCTGCAAATATTATAAACTAGTCTAGAGATTTTTTAGCCTCAGAAACGACTACTTTTCTAATTTTTTCACCTCCTAAGTGGACGACACAACTTATGATATATCTTATTGGTAGTTTTTAGATTCTAGAATGTGATGATGTGATACTTTCAGGTTTTAATTCACAAATGTTGAACCTGGTATTTTCAGTTATTGACTAAACCTTCAAATTCACTTATTACAACATCATTTTGCATTTTAACATTTTTATTTTAGCTGCCTCCATCTGTATTCATGAAAATTGCCCAATAGAATGTTGTGATGTCATGTGAAACCAGGCAATAACAGATCTGTGTCAGTGTCCCAACGTCGATTAAAACAATGAGACTTGGCAACTTGTGCAGAGCCGTGCGACGCGGTGCTACGTCACCCCCCGCACAGAGACGCGCAGACCGAAATAAACCACGGGAAAAACCCACGACACGTCTAATCCCGTTTAAAATGCTCAGGGGGCGCTGATGTGAACGAGTTCACACCAGAAATATAATATTACCTTTTTGTCAGAGCAGGAAGAACCTTTAATCAAACACAGAACATAAAACACCAGGACTATAATATAAACCCATTATCAGTGTTGTGAAGTTTACTTTTAAAAATGTATTCCCCTACAGATTACAGATTACATACTCCAAAATGTAGTTTGTAACAGAATCCATTAAATTACTTAAAGTGAGTAACGTAATCTGAATACTTTGGATTACTTGATTTGCTGTAGAGAAGCAAAGACTCGGAAATCTTCACTTAAGAAGTTTTGTCTAATAAAAAGAAAATAAAAAGCCCAGACTTTACTGAACCAAATTAAAAATATTATTGATAGAAGAGGAGGAGACACGTCCACACAGCAGGATTTAGTCCTGTTAAATCCTGCATGAGACATAGTTTAGACCTGGTTTTAGTCCTGGTTCAGTCTTCGTTTAGTCCTAGTTTAGATCTGGTTTTAGACCTGGTTTGGACCTGGTTTAGACCTGATTTTAGTCCTGGTTTAGTCCTAGTTTAGTCCTAGTTTAGACCTAATTTAGACCTGGTTTAGACCTGGTTTAGTGTCCGGCAATGAGTGGAATTACCAAGAAAGGAAAAGAAAAAAAAAAAAACTCTCTGTAATATAATATATACCTCTGAAAATACCTCTGTGTAATCCATTTATTTCAACAAGTAACTGTAATCCAATTACCACTCACTGAAACAGTAACTGTAACTAGTGCTGTCATGCGATTAAAAAAATTGAGCGATTAATTAATTATGATCTGTAATTAATTAATCTAATTAATCGCTTTTTAATCTCACCTAAAAATTGCTGAGAAAAGCCTTCAATTTCAGGTATTTTCATTTAAATTCATTATTACATTATTGTGGCAGATCAAAAGACTGATATAGAACAAAAAAATACTTCATGAAGTCATTTATTTTTTTTTATGAACTTTAACAGATGCAGCCATTTACATTTTGCTGTGTTCTTTTGACAAACTGTAAATAATTAGAAAATACAAATAAAATAAAACATCTGGTCCACATTATAAAGTGTTGTAAGTTATCAAAAAAACAGCAAAAAACACTACAACCCTGAACTTGGTGCTTTTCCTCTGCTTCAGATAATAAAAAAATAAATTAAAACAAACACATCACAGTGCTGTAAGTTAGCACATCAAAAGTAACATTGTGTAACACAAAATAAAGTGCCGCATCTACAGCTGAGTGGACATGCCCAACACATCTGGATCTGGAAGCAGGAGATGTAGTCTACTGTCTGTTGTGTTCACAGATTGTTGTGTAATATTTCACTGAGCAAGATGTTGTGTAATATTTCACTGAGTGATTGTGTCAAAATGATCCAATGAGTCAATCCCTATTTTGGTAGCAAATTGTGTGAACTAGATCATTATACACATTATATAAGCCTGTACATGTCTACACAAACGCAACATTCATGACAGTGAAGACACGGACAGTATTTTGTGTTTGACCATGTTTATTTGTTACACGACATAGTGATATATGGCACCTGTTATAGGAGCGTCTGGAGCAGCGAACAGATCAAGTGGTTGAGCGCGTTTATGCGCTGCAGTAAAGAGCAACGTTTGTTATTTCAAACCAGGTCTTGATGGGAACATGTGCGGGATACATTTGGATTATTTTTCAATGGGGAAATAATACGCCACGATAAAGAAGGTTTAACGCGACAATACAGCTCTGGCAGTTTTGTGTCTCTATGGGAGTGAATGGAAACGAGAGGACACGCCCCCCATGCTTCCAGGTGTGGCCCCGCCTTTACCAGTTAAGCTGATCGCCAGACAATCCGGAACACCGGTCACCCCCAAATAGCTGTGGTTGCCAACTGAGGTCCAGTGATCTCCGGTTATAGCAACACAGTTGGGCGAATCCTCCACCAAAATCTCAAGTTTATTTTTCTTTTCGCTGTCGTACATCTTGCTGATTTTGGTGGTCACTGTAGTCCTGCACGGTGGCTTGTATGACGGGTCATTGGACGCAGTTTGCAACACCTCTGATAACCCTTCGTCTTCCACTATATTTATCGGCCTGCAGTTCATCGCTATCCACTTGGCAAGAACATTCGTCAGCCTGTCGGTAGCAGACTTGCTCAAACGCGTGGTGTTTTCCTCCAGTGTAGTTTGGCGAAGAGCTTTGCTTTGGCTTGCTAAATTGCTAACGTGTTTGCTGCTAACGTTAGCCGTGGCTACACTCGCGGCTGGGTGTTTTGCATTGATGTGATAGGCTAAACTTGAGTTGCTTCGGTGCTAAGCAAACTCCTTCTTACACAGAAGGCATATGACTTTACCCTTATTAATGGTGCCGTCGGGGCGTTTGTGAAATGTAAATTTCCCGTTCATTGGTCCAACTGTCAAATGCTCCTCCATTGTCACGTCTCCTCTCTTTTACCTCCGCTCCTCACCTCGCCCTGCAAACAGGGTGTGACTGACTATGGTTCCACCCCCAACAATTCAAGCACAAGGAGCTCAACACATAAAAACGGATTTTATAGTAAGGCAACTCGCATACAGAATCAGTAAAGTTAGAGATTAAAAATGAGATTAACGCGATTAAAAAACATAACGCGCTAAATATGGCTGTAATTAATTAATCGCAATTAACGCGATAATGTGACACACCTAACTGTAACTGAATACAGTTACTCATAATTTGTACTCTGATTACGTAACTCTGGTACATGTGAATCTGTTACTCCCCAACACTGCCCATTATTAACTACTCAATGAAATATTTGAAAACAAGAAAAAAGCACAAAATATAAAAATAAGTTATGAAAAGTTATGATCTTGCTACAACTGTTACTACTTTACTTTTACAAAACAAAAACATCAGCGAGCTATGAATTGTAACGACCGCAAGAAGTTGAGATGATTATAAGAAAGTCTTTAGATACAGTTAGATGTCGATAAAAAATAAACCATTGTCCATTTATTAGTTACTATTAAAGTTGGGCTTCTGAATGACACAATGGTAATATGTATGTAATTAAACACATTGTTGTTGTTCAGCATAAAAATCAGCTGGAAAGTCCCCTAGAAGCCCAGAAGGTTATGTTTTTGCCGGCGTTTGTCTGTTTGTCTGTTTGTTTGTTTGTTTGTCTGTTTGTCTGTGTTAGCAACAACATAACTCAAAAAGTTATGGACCGATTTTGATGAAATTTTCAGGATTTGTTGGAAATGTGAAAAGGAAGAAGTGATTTCATTTTGGGGATGATCCGGAAGAAATCCTGGATTCTGGATCACTTTGAAATTTTAGTTAACATTGTGGTAAATGGGGCCAAAAATTTTGTTTCTCAATATCTCGGTTAATTATTGACCAAACCCCATGAAATTTGACTCAGGGATGGACAATGGGATCCTCTTTCATATTCCAAAGGCTGATCCGGATCTGATCCAGAAGACTGATTTTATCGCAATTTATATAAAAAAATGGGGGTAGTCCTTGGCGGAGGTCTGCGCTCTCTGAGCGCTTTTCTAGTTTTACTTTTTGTCATTGTCTGAAAGATGTGAAAGGAAACAGAAAAACAAAAAAATCATTTACGG